ATTTCAAGCTGCAAGCACTTACTGACTAACTAGAAACTATCAACAACCTGAAGCAAGTCCGGATGTAAGCAAATATGGGAGTCCGAAAAGTTGGGACCTTGTAGTACGCGTCTGGCTCTGAGAGATCCTCACACGGCAAGCCAATCCTGCTTCAAATCCCAAGGGGGGAAAGTCCCTAGATTCTCCCCATTCCACCCTCTCAAACGCAACGGAACTTAATGAACCGCAGTCAATCGTGCGATTACGCGCCCCTCGTTGGAGCTCAGAGGTGGGTGAATGACATACACGCAGCTTTGGGGTACACGCATCATAAAACCGTTTAGCGGATCTTAGTATTGTAAAGCGTATGAGTTCGGGAGGGAACTGGACAACGCATTTGGGCCTGGCACGGACGGGAACAGTTGGCGTTGATGTTTCCTTACCTACACGCTGGTTGGGGGGAGGTGGTGTGGTAGTGAAGAGGGGTGAAGTGAAGGTGGTGGGAGAGGAGGGGAGAGGTTTGGTGAAGTGGGTGGTTTGGTTTGAATTTGGGGGTGAATGGTGTCGGTTCGAGTTTGGAGTATCAACCGAATATCGCGTCCTCCCCCCCTCCCCCGAACCACTCCTGCTGCTCCGCCCCCCTCCCCTGCCTGACTTCGTGGGAATCCCGAGAAATTATCAGTCCACTGCACTGTACTTGTCTCGACATTATCGAGCCGCACCGCAACAGAACTCCAACCAGGCCCTTGCTCGACACGCCACACGACAGGGCATCCCCGAGGACAACCTGACCTGACACACCTACTCCGGGCAGCCGCGAAAATAACGGTTTCCCTCCATTATCCAGCCAGCCAGTGGCGACCTGTGCGTGCGGGAAGGAGACTTCTCGGTCACGTTTTTGGGCAGGGAGTTCCTAAGAAATGCATGCTTTTATCACCAGCCATCTGTTTCCTTGACCGAATTATTGCCTGTCTAAACTGAACCCTCGACTCACCTCATCCAATAATCTCCAAATCCCATCCATTTCCCTCATCCATGGCCGCCTCTTCCCCCCCGTATCAGCTATGACCCGTGCAATTATAAGAACGCGTTATGGAAGCGCGGTAGGCCCATTCCCTGCGATTGCTGTCGCGCTTGTGATAGGTTAATCCGCATTAGATTCGTAAGAACCAGCGTTATGCATCGTCTCCATCCCGTTTCTGCACAAGAATCGCATTCCAGAAAAGCAAGACTAGCTGGCTCGTCGGCATTCCTGACGCACTACCGTCGCAGCGTTCGACCATTCCAGCCTAATCCTCAGCGTAGACTTAGAGAAGCGATAACATCCGAAACCGAGTAACTTCTGAGAGAATTCAAAAGCAACTCCAGCACAGCCGCCTCTAAGAGAATAAGTTACTCGGTTCGCGTTACCCCTGGTCCCATTCATTTTCTTGGTACCCTCTGGACAACCTCTGTTCACATTGACCTTGGTCCGGCTAAGTTAACCTAATTTATCACTTCCGACGTATAAAAGGCCCTCCTGATCAAACAACCCCGTCGCGACCCCGTCGCGTTTCCAGCGCGTATCGGTTTCGCTCATTCAACTCTGAATTCAAGCTCGCGAAAAGAAAGATCCTGCGAAGGCGCTTCGGCAATGGAGCGAGACAGACGTCTTCCCGATCACGGCATCCCACCAGAGCCTCCAACGGTCGACTCCACCCCCGCCTTACCCTCCCCAAGGGTCGACGCTGGGACGGTTCCTGGCTCCTTCGCATCAACGGAGCGCGCCCCCAGCACTTCCGGGATTCTCGACCGCGCATCCGGTTCCTCGGGAGGAGTGGTCGAGCGCACCGGCAGCACTTCCCTTTACACTCCCAGATGGGCACGCGGGGCAGCGGGAGCGCCCGTACCCCCTTCCGCCATGGCCTCCGCGGCTGCCGCCGCAACAGCCGCCGCGTCAGCCTCCGCGTCTGCCGCCGCCGCAGCCGCCGCGGCTGCAGCCGTGCCTGGTTCGGACCCAACCACTCCTAGCGGCCCGCTGACGGCTCCGTTAGACGTCAGTTTCACGTCGACGAACCCCCCGACTCCGTTAGGGTTTCAGCAAGGCTTCCCAGTTTTTCAGCCGCGGGATCCGGAGCGCGACAGGCGGAATCTGTCAATGGAGATGCCGGAGCCCCCCCCTCGGCGGAGAACCCGCCCCGTCTCTTCCGCCATCTACCCCCGCCCCCATCCCGCCGTTTCCCCCGGAGATGGCGCAGCGCACCGCGTAATGGGCAGCGACTTGAGCGGAGACGCGCGGCTGTGGTCCCCGTCGCAGCACCTCCAGCGCGGGCGCATGCCGGAAGCCGCCTTCCCCAGTTACCGCCCGGGCGACAGCGGGATTCTCCGCGGCGGGAGGAGGCCCGGCGGGCCGATGTCCGGGCAGTTTCCCGGCCCGGGCATGGGAAAGTCAGGCATGATTGGCCAGTCGGGGCTGATCGGGCAGTCGGGAATGTTTCCGCCACCGTCGGCGATCCCCCAGTCGGGGTCGTGGGGGGGGACTGCCCCGAACACGCCGAGCATACCGAAATCGAACATAGTGCAGAAATCCATGATCATGTGCATGGATCCGACGTGTAACAAGTGCCCCCCCGAGATGCACGCGCTTCGGAACCGGAAGCTTATGGCGGCGGCGATTGATCACCGAGTTCCCGCAGCCGCTAGCGTCGAAAGACGGGCGCGGAGGGGGGAGGCGGGGGAGCGACGGGGGCGGGGACGGCGGAGGGGACGGGGGAGAAGGCCGCGGAGGAATAGACGATTTTGAGTATGATTTCGACGAGTTTGATTTTGAGGATGACGAGGAGTATGACGAGGAGACGGGCGGGAAGCGAACAATCATTCGTTGCTGCGGCCTGCCATGCTTTGTCTTCACCAGCCGGGTTTGTTCCGGTTCCCCCCCTTCCAGCCTCATCCTCTCTCTCTCTTCCTCCCGCCCCCATTCTCTACCTCTCGTTCCCTCTCGTCCGCCTACAAGTCTCCCGTTCCCACGCTTTTAGAACCCCCAACCGCGCAGTCGTGCGGCCCAGTCTTGTTGCACGGCCCTGTGCCAGTCGCGCATGCTTGTCCGTTAAACATTTCCCCCCCTCTCCCCTCCCCCCTCTCTACCTCGCACCCCCTCGTGGCAGGGCAAGCGCCGGTCGCCCATGCTCGGGTTCTTCCGGTTCGTGGAGGGGCTGGTGCAACCCGTGGGCATTCTCAACCCGCACTCGAGGTGGGGCCTTGGGCCATGCTTCCTTAGTGTGTGTGGGAATGGTCTGGTTTGTATATGTACATATATATATATATGTGTATATATTATGTGCATATATGTGCCCCTCGTCCACCCCTCCCCTCCCAACCAGGTTCGTGGCGCAGTGGAACAAGTGGTTCATGGTGACGTGCATCTTTGGCTTCTGTATCGACCCCTGGTTCCTCTTCACGCTCCTCACCATGTTCTCGCCCTCCAAGGTTAGTTAGAATGTCCCTGGTTACCAGCACCTGGTTACCATCCGTATCACCTGCTTCCTTGTCTGTATCGACCCCTGGTTCCTCTTCACGCTCCTCACCATGTACTCGCCCTTTAAGGTATGTACACTGTATACTGACTGACTGCTGTCAGGCTGTCATTCATCAACTACCCGGCTGCCATCACTCACTGTCATGTGTTCCTTCTTATCTCTAGTCCTGCTCTTTGCTTCCCCCACCTTTCTCACTCATTTCCTCGTTCTCGCCCCCCATCATCAGGTCACCCTGTGTTTGGACATCAACTACCCGGCTGCCATCACTCTCACTGTCATGCGTTCAATCGTGGATCTCATGTATCTAATCAACATATTCGTACAGGTGCGTACAGCTTGTATATTCTTTTTTGTTCGTGAAAATACACCTTTCCAGTTTGTGTATTCTGCACTACAAGAACAAAACTGCATCTTACTGACCAATCGAAACGTATATCACAAATCATGAAGTTGATGAAACATTTCTTAATGCCCCCCTCCCCTCCCCTCCCCTCCCCTCCCCTCCCCTCCCCTCCCCTCCCCTCCCCTCCCCTCCCCTCCCCTCCCCTCCCCTCCCCTCCCTAGCATCACTTCTTCCTTCTTCGTGCCCTTTCTTCGTTGTTTCCCTCCAATCCAAACACGCTCCATCTCTTTCGGTTCTCTTCACTGTCCCCTTCCGCCCATCAGTTTTGAGAATTCCTACAAGTCCCTCCCTCCTCCCGATTTCCCCGTCCAACAACCCCACTCCCACCAGTTCTGCTAGGCCTATTTCGTCCCAACGCTCAGCGGCCCAGCAACCGCTCCTAGAGATGGAAGTGCCTGCGCTGGTGTTCTGGTACGCCGAGCCCTCCTAGCCTCCCAACACCACCTCATTCCCTCCGACACTCCCCACCCCCCTCTCCCCCTTTCCCTTGTGTTCATCCCCCCCGCACCAGTTCCGTATGGCATACTTTGTCCCGGCGCCCAGCAACCGCTCCTATCGATGGAAATGCCTGCGCTGGTGGTATGCCGATCCCTCTGAGCTGGAACCAGGTGACATGGAGACAGACACGAGGGTCATCGCCACCCGATACCTCAAATCGTGGTTCCTCGTTGACCTTATGTCGACGTTCCCCATCCCTCAGGTGAGTAGGATAGGATTGATATGCTCGTCCAGGTAAGGCTGGTGGTATGCTGAGACCTCTGAGCTAGCCCCAAGGAGACACGGAGACAGACAAACACACGGGTCATCGCCATTCGATACCTCAAGTCCTGGTTCCTTGTCGACCTCGTATCCACCTTCCCCATCCCCCAGGTGAGACGAATTTTGAGGCGCCTCAAAACTCGTATCCACGTTCCCTATCCCCCAGGTGAGACGCTCAAGGTAAGAGGCCTTTTAAGTGCTGCCCACCCACTCTGAGCTGGCCCCGGGGGATATGGAGACTGATACAAGGCTGATCGCCATGCAAAACTGCAAGTCCTGGTTATTTTTGGGCCTCCTCCTATCCACGTTTCCCATCCACCATGTAAGGTTTCGAGCCCTGTTGGCCAGCCTTCTCCCCCCACTCCACGGCCGCATATGCTCAAAGAGAATGATTAGTTCGACATCTGGCAGCAATGCCTTTTGCCTTGCCCCATATTCCTTGCCCCATATTCCCCCTCGTGAGGTATTCCCTTTCAAGAAGTGGGTTGAAATTCAATTCGTGCCTTCCATGTTCAACGCTTTTTTCCCCTCCCCTCCCCTCCCCCCCCCCCCCCCCCCCCCCCCCCCCCTTCCCACCTCACTTCCTTTCCCTCGACCCCTCACACCGTCAGATTTTCGTCCTAGGGATAGTCCCAGCTCTCGGCAAGAGCGTCGCCGCAGCAGCCAACACGTGCATCGCTGTCCTCACCCTCCTCGCGCTCTTCCTCCCATCCCACCCCCACTTCCACCCTCCCCCATCAGATCTTTATTCTAGGCATAGTCCCAGCGCTGGGAGAGAGAGTCGCCACAGCAGCCAACACGTGGATCGCCGTGCTCACCCTGCTCTGCCTCTGCATCCAGAACATCCCCCGCGCCGCCCGCTTCTTCCCCTCAATCCCTGCCTTCCCTCCTCTCCTCTGCCCTTTTTTCCATCTGTTCTGCCCTGTCCACAACAGATCTTCATCCTGGGCATTGTCCCAGCGCTGGGCAAGAGCGTCGCCACAGCAGCCAACACATGGATCGCCGTGCTCACCCTGCTCTGCCTCTGCATTCAGAACATCCCCCGTGCCGCCCGATTCTTCCTCTCAGTGCCTCCCTTCCCTCCCCTCCCCTCCCCCACCTTCCCCCCTTCGACTCCTCCATCAGATCTTTATTCTAGGCATAGTCCCAGCGCTGGGCAAGAGCGTCGCCACAGCAGCCAACACATGGATCGCCGTGCTCACCCTCCTCTGCCTCTGCATCCAGAACATCCCCCGTGCTGCCCGCTTCTTCCCCCTGCTGGCGGGCACGGCGTCGCACGTGGCGGGCTTTGTGTTTGAGACGGCGTGGGCTAATTTCCTGCTCAACCTCGTGTTTTATCTCATGGCGTCTAACTTCGTGGGAGGGGTGTGGTACATCCTTGCAATCGACGTGAGTGCTTCCCTTTCCCCCACCCTGCTGCTTTTGAGGCGCCTCAAAAGTCGACGTGAGTGCTTCCCTTTCCCCCACCCTGCTGCCTTGCTGTCGTCGCGAGTGCTGCCTTCCCCTTCCTGCCTGCCTGCCTGCCTGCCTGCCTACCTGCCTGCCTGCCTGCCTGCCTGCCTGCCTGCCTGCCTGCCTGCCTGCCTGCCTGCCTGCCTGCCTGCCTGCCTGCCTGCCTGCCTGCCTGCCTGCCTGCCTGCCTGCCTGCCTGCCTGCCTGCCTGCGTTCCTTCCTCCCTGCCTTCCCACTGCTGGCGGGCACGGCATCGCATGTGGCGGGCTTTGTGTTTGAGACGGCGTGGGCTAATTTCCTGCTCAATCTCGTGTTCTACCTCATGGCCTCAAACTTCGTGGGAGGGGTGTGGTACATCCTGGCCGTTGATGTGAGTACATTCCCTTGCTGCAATATGCCTGTTCCAACACCCCCAAATGTGCTTCAGACGGCGTGGGCCAATTTCTTGCTCAACCTCGTCTTCTACCTCATGGCATCCAACTTAGTTGGCAAGGATCGTGTCATGAGTGTTTTGAGTCATGAGTCGACACTTAGTCAGCAAGGATTATGTCATGAGTTGATCATGTCTTCTACCTCATGGCATCCAACTTTGTTGGCGGAGTGTCATGAGTTGGACATGAGTCAACTCAAAACACGATCCTTGCTGTCGACATGAGTGCTGCCTTCCCCTTCCGTCCCTTTGCTTCCCCTTCCCGCTGCTGCAATACCTCTTCCTACATACACCCTCAAACGCCACCCCACCTATCTCTACTGTGTGCAACACCAAAGCCACTGCCTTACCCTCTTTCTCTCCCTTCCCTTCTTTCCTCTTCTCTTCTCCCCTCACTCCCTTCCCCCCCCCCCCCCCCCCCCCCTTTCCCACCAGCGTTTGAGCGAGTGCCTGCAGTACATGTGCAACAACACCAAAGGCTGCAAACCCATCTCCCTCTACTGCAGCTAACACCAACGCCCCTGTCACTTACCCTCTCCCTCCCTGTCCCTCTCTCCTCTTCTCTTCTTCCCGCACTCCCTTTTCCCCCCCACACCAGCGTTTCAGCGAGTGCTTGCAAAACGTCTGTACCAACACCAAAGGCTGCAACCCCTCCTACCTCTACTGCGGCAACACCAACGCCCCAGTCACCACCGTCACCGCTGCGGACCTCTTTTCACCGCAGTACACCGGGAAGAACGTCACCACATGCCTGTACACCCCTGGGGATGACGGCAAAACGGACTCCCCCATCCCGTATGGGGTGTTTGAGAATGCCATCCCGCTCACCTCAAGCCCAGATGTGGTCTCAAACTACCTCTACTCCTTCTTCTGGGGCCTGCAGGTAAGCCTGTCACACACCAGACGTCTCGTTAGTCGGTATCAAACATTGTGTGTGTATGGCATGGTGCTGCCGCCTTGATTCCCGCTCGCGTCAAGCCCAGATGTGGTCTCAAACTACCTCCACTCCTTCTTTTGGGGCCTGCAGGTAAGACATTGTTGCAAGTGAAGGTGCCTCTTGTAGTGACTTGTGAGTCGACTCAAAAGTAGGCCGCTTGGGCCACAGCTTTTGATTTGATGCGCCTCTGAAGGTGGTTGTAGTCGTTTTCGTCACAACCCCCTCTCTCACATCCAAGTTGACTTTTGAGTCGACTCATAAGTCAACCCCCTCTCTCGCATCCTCGCTCTCCCTCCCGGCTGGCACTACTCCCTCCCCCCCACCCTCAACCACCCACAGCAAGTGAGCACGCTGTGTGGTAACCTGGTGTCGTCACGGTGGGGCGTGGAGCTGCTCTTTGTCATTGTCGTCACCATCATCCCCCCTTCCCTTCTTCGTGACTCCCTTTCCCTCCTCCCCTCGTCTCCTTTCCTCGTCTCGCCCACCCTCATCGCAGCAAGTGAGCACGCTGTGTGGTAACCTGGTGCCATCACGGTGGGATGTGGAGGTGCTATTCGTCATCGTCGTCACCATCATCGGTCTGCTGCTGCTGGCGCTCCTCATTGGCAACATCTCCAACTACCTTCAGTCGCTCAACAGAAGGTATGTTTTGTGGGGTAGGTGGGATGGGTAGAGCCAACACAAGTAGTCCCTAAGTTACCAGGAATGTTCGGTAAGCAGTTACCACATAAGTAAGTCGTCACCATCATCGGTCTGCTGCTGCTGGCGCTCCTCATTGGAAACATCTCCAACTACCTTCAGTCGCTCAACAGGAGGTAAACGGGAAGGGTAGAGCCAACACAAGTAGTCACTGGGTTACCAGGCAGGCATGTTCGGTGAGCAGTTACCACACAAGTGAACGGTCAACACTATCATCGGTCTGCTGCTGCTGGCGCTCCTCATTGGCAACATCTCCAACTACCTTCAGTCGCTCAACAGAAGGTGAAGTGAATCATATGGGGGACGTGTACGGTGGAATGGTTACCAGTGTGGTTACCACACAAGTAGGGTCAATGGTTACCAGTGTGGTCACCACACAGGTAGGGTCAATGGTTACCAGTGTGGTTACCACACAAGTAGTGTTAATGGTTACCTGTGTGGTTACCACACAGGTAGGGTCATTGGTTACCAGTGTGGTTACCACACAAGTAGAGTCAATGGTTACCAGTGTGGTTACCACACAAGTAAGTCGTCACCATCATCGGTCTGCTGCTGCAGCCCCTCCTCATTAGCAACATCTCCTCATATTGGCCCTCCTCTCGACCTCCTCTCTCTCTCTCTCCTCTCCTCGCTCCTCCCAACAGGTCCTTTGAGTACCAGTTGCAGCGACATGACATTGACTCGTGGATGCAGCGCAGCAGGAAAGTTCCAATCTCTCATTGCGCTCAATCCTTCCCTCTCCTCTCCCCTCCTCGCGCATCCCCTCCTCGCTCCTCCCAACAGGTCCTTTGAGTACCAGTTGCAGCGACATGACATTGACTCCTGGATGCAGCGCAGGAACCTTCCCGTCGACCTCCAGAAGTAAGCTTCTCAGAACCTTCCGGTACTTTGCAGTGCTTTGATTGGAGGGGCTAGGGCTGTCTATGATTTTTCATATGATCACATAGCCGTATTAACCCAAACGCTGTTTACACCTCAACATGTTGACCATGTTGAATTTGTTTGACTCTTGCCCCTGTTGACTTGTTTGACTGCAGGCAGGTGCAGGCGCAGCTGCGGTTGCAGTGGGCGGCGACTAGAGGCGTGGACGAGGCAGAGCTGCTGGACAGTTTTTCCGACTCCATTCAGATTGACCTCCGCCGCTCGCTGTGCTTGGAGTTACTACAATGCGTGAGTGTTGTGTGGTTTGGAACGCTCCAGTACGGTTTCGTATGGTCTTGTGTGATACGGTGTGGGCAGAGCTGCTGGACAGTTTTTCCGACTCCATTCAGATTGACCTCCGCCGCTCGCTGTGCTTGGAGTTACTACAATGCGTGAGTGTTGTGTGGTTTGGAACGGTACAGTACGGTACGGTACGGTACGGTTTCGTATGGTCTTGTATGATAGGGTGTGGGCAGAGCTGCTGGGCAGTTTCTGAGGCTCCATTCAGATTGGCCTCCGCCGCTTGCTGTGCTCGGAGCTGCTGCAATGCTTGAGTGCTGTCGTGTGGTACGGTACAGTAGGGTAGGGTACGGGTCGGTATCAGTATGGTACAGTGTTGTGAGGCATAGCTGCTGGACAGCTTCTCAGACTCCTTTCAGATTGACACCCGGCGCTCGAAAGCTACTCCGCCTCTCCTCAGCTCCCGCCCCTGACCCATCTTCCTTTCAAGGTGCGGCTACTACAGTTCCTCAGTGGAGCGGCTACCCCAGTTGACTTTTGAGTCGACTCAAAAGTCCTCAGCTCCCTCCCCTCACCCATCTTCCTTTCAAGGAGTGGAGCGGCTACCCCAGTTGACTTTTGAGTCGACTCAAAAGTCCTCAGCTCCCTCCCCTGACCCATCTTCCTTTCAAGGAGCGGAGCGGCTACCCCAGTTGACTTTTGAGTCGACTCAAAAGTCCTCAGCTCCCTCCCCTGACCCCTCTTCCTTTCAAGGAGTGGAGCGGCTACCCCAGTTGACTTTTGAGTCGACTCAAAAGTCCTCAGCTCCCTCCCCTGACCCCTCTTCCTTTCAAGGAGTGGAGCGGCTACCCCAGTTGACTTTTGAGTCGACTCAAAAGTCCTCAGCTCCCGCCCCTGACCCATCTTCCTTTCAAGGTGCGGCTACCCCAGTTCCCAACACCCCTCTCCTTCCTCCTTCCCCACCTCCCCTCCCCCCCCCCCCTCTTCCCCACCCACTCAACAGTCCAAGCTCTTCTGCGCCATGGAACCCCCCGTGCTGGACGCCTTCTGTGTGCGCCTGCTGGAGCAGATACACCACCCCTCTCACTGAGACTCTCTCCTTTCCCTCGTGATCCTCATTCCCTCCCCTCCCCCCGACCCGCTCAACAGTCCAAGCTGTTCTGCGCCATGGAACCCCCCGTCCTCGACGCCTTCTGCGCGCGCCTGCAGCAGCAGATCTACACAGCGGGTTCGATGATCATCAGGGAGGGCTACCCCGTCTCGCGCATCTTCTTCGTCCTCCGCGGGGAGCTCGAGAGCTTCTCAACCTTCGGCGGGCACACGGGGATGGTGGATACTGTGGTGCTGGGCAAGGGGGACTTTCTGGGGGAGGAGCTGCTGGTGGAGTGTCTAGAGAGGCTCGCCGCTGCCAGTGGAAAGGGCTCGGGGCGGTCGTTGACTCTCAGGTCAAGATGTGAGTATGATTCTGTCCTTACATGGCAAGGGGTATGTCAAGAGGCGCCTGGAAAGGCCACACGGGGATGGTGGATACAGTGGTGTTCGGCAAGGGGGATTTTCTGGGGGAGGAGCTGCTGGTGGAGTGTCTAGAGAGGCTGGCCGCTGCCAGTGGAAAGGGCTCTGGGCGGTCGTTGACTCTCAGGTCAAGATGTGAGTATGATTCTGTCCTTACATGGGGAGGGGCGTGGCAAGGGGCGCATGGGAAGGGGCGTGCCTAGGGGCGCATGGGAAGGGGCGTGCCTAGGGGCGCATGGGAAGGGGCGTGCCTAGGGGCGCATGGGAAGGGGCGCGCCTAGGGGCGCATGGGAAGGGGCGCGCCTAGGGGCGCATGGGAAGGGGCGTGCCTAGGGGCGCATGGGAAGGGGCGCGCCTAGGGGCGCATGGGAAGGGGCGTGCCTAGGGGCGCATGGAAGGAAAGGGCCACACGGGGATGGTGGACCAGCTGCCAACAGCACAGCAGTCGGTGCTCTGCCTGGGGCCCGTTGAGGGGTACTTGCTGGAGGGAGGAGTGCTCCCTGAAGGGGAAGGGTACTCACTGGAGGGAGGGGTGATCCGTGAAGGGGAAGGGTAGTCCCTGAAGAATACTTTTTAGGGGCCACACATTCACCTTCCTGCCTCTCTCACACTCCCCCACATCCACCAATCCCCCATCTCCTGATTCCGCCATCCCTATTCCCCTACTCCCAGCCATCTCGTCCACGCCATCGCTCACCAGTGCTGCCAATCTGCCCCAGCCATCAGTGGACGTGCTCCCCACGGCCCAACCCTCAGTTCCATCTTCCAAATTCCCCATTCCCGCTCCTTATTTTCCCCCAGCCATCTCGGCCACCCCATCGCTCACCAGCTCTGCCAGTCTGTCCCAGGCTTCGGTACACGTGCTGCCCACAGCTTCGTCTCTCGGACTCCCCCACCCCCGAACCCAACCCCCCGCTTCCCCACCCACCCGCCCCCCAGCCCTCTCGGCCTCGGCATCGCTCACCAGCTCTGCCAATCTATCCCAGCCATCAGTGGACGTCTTACCAACAGCGCAGCGGTCGGTGCGCTGCCTGGGGCCCGTCGAGGGGTACTCGCTGGAGGCTGCTGACGTGGCGTCTGTGTGCAAGCAGTTTGCACGCATGCTCTCCACCAACCATATACAGCGCGCCCTCAAGTGAGCTTCTCTCTTTCTTTCTTTCTTTCTTTCTTTCTTTCTTTCTTTCTTCCTTTCGTTCTTACCTCCTTTTTGTCTTCTTTTTGTGGAGATCCACATGTGTGCACAGTAGAGCTTTTCTCCTCACTTCCCTAGAATCTTTCTTTTTGCCCAATAGTGTTTTCCGGCACAAAAATGCAAAATTATAACTGCCTTTACATTGTGCACCATAATTGCCGATTTGACTGCTTCTTTTTTCTTCTTTCTTTCTTTCGCTTTTCCCTCTCCCTCCTCAACCCTTCCCCATTCTTGCTTCCTCCTGGTCACCACCAGCGAAATATGCCACAACAGACGAACTCACGCTGCCCGCACAATCCAATTGGCATTCCGCCGGTACTTGAGACGAAAGCTCGGTCTCTCTGTAGAGGATGTATTCAAAGCAGTTAGAAACAGGCGCATGGCAGCGGTGCTTAACAAAGCGCAGGAGTTAAGAGCTAATAGTGCTCTTAATGGTACTGCTGCTGCTGCCGCTGCTTTGTCCGTTGCTGCTGCTGGGAGTGCGAGTGTGGCCGCGAGTGGGAGGAGCAGTGGTTCGGAGAAGGCAAGGGGGGAAGAGGAGAAAGGGGAGAAGGGAGAAGGGAAGGTGAGGTTTGCTGTGGATAAAGGAGACAGCGGGCGCAATAAGTCAGAATAGTTATAGATGGATGTCCCTTGCTCCTTACTAAATCTGGCGCCACGCTTTATTAGAAGACAATGGTTGAGTTTTGAACCATCTAGGCATGGACTGACTGTTCTGCATGCATTATTGTTTTCACTAGTCTGCAACTTCGATTTGCGTAGTTCGTGCCTCCAGAGGTTAGCATTCTTGTGTACCAAAGGCTGCACTTGGTCTATGCATTGCCGTACAGCGGCTCTCACTGAGGCGAGTCTAGCTGGAAGTCGCCATGTCACTCGACGACGAAGCGCTTTTCTTTAGTCAGCGACAAGCTGGAACTCATTGTGGACCGTCAGCGACGGCTCGGTTAATCGCAAGCACACATCAGCCAATAGAATACCGCCACTATGTCGGTCACTACACACAATATCGTAAAAAAGGGAGAATTGAGCAGTGATTGGTTGATTCGTTGCCGACAAATCGTTTTGCACGTCGGCGATTAACATAAGCGTGGACGCGGACGGTGTTTGGAGGGGGGAGGGGGAATTGGTGACAAGGAGAACCCGTGCGATGACGCTTGTGTTATTCGCTGGTCGTCGTATGACCACACGTGGAATCGCACGAGGATTTTTCGTCGTCGCGAATTTCGTTTCCCCTCGCCTTGGGATCGCCTGCTCTTCACCCCACTTTTGCAGAGAAGGGAGGAGGAGCGGGCGAGTCGCCGGCAAAATCGAGAATGGGCGGAATGAGAGGAGGAACTGGGGCCGCAAAACTGCAAGGGGCGCATCAATGGGGCGCAAATATGTATGGGGCGCAAAATGCACGATTTCAAAAAGACGGAATGGAACGAAAACCGTCCGCCTACAAGCGGGTCAACTAATCGCCACCAGCAGCGCCAACCCGCTGGCCCTCCCTCCCGCCCTGCCCGAAACACGCTGTGACGCTGCCCACCCCAGCGACCAACCAACAACCCAAGCAACCAACAAAAGCAACAGTCATGTGCGAGCATCAGCGACGGCGGATGCACTGTGCGACAGCGACGGAAAACACGAAACGAACTTTTCAAAAAGCAACTCTCGGGTGTGGTTAGAAGGGATCATATTGCCCCCTTTCGTCCAAACCAATAACGTAACCTCTGAAGCGAGGAGGAGGGTGTAACCCTACTAGTGACCTGGTCGACTCACCGCCATGGCCACTGCTCCCGCGTCGCATGTCGTTCGCGCACGAGGTGCATCATCCGTGCCGTCCTCGCGCAGTAGGATAACCAGCTCGTCTTCCGAAGCCTCCTTTCGCGAAGCGTCGCATGGGCCGTTTCTCCCGCCCCGCTCCCGTCGATTAAAGCCTTTAATCTCTATTTCCTCCGATCCGAGCCATTGCACGTTGCGAACATCCCACCCATTGAAAAGCCGCCACGTGGCGTCATCTGGACTTTCAGAACCCGCAGCGCGAGTTTCTGTGCCAGTAACGAACGGCAGTGTTGCTCCCGAAGCGCGTAGCCCCTTAATATCAGTGGAAAAGTTCCCGCTAGTAAAAACAGCTTCAGTAGAGTCAGCTACCTTTGATGCCAAGAGCTTACCTAAAAATGCTGATAGCGGGGATATTGGCGTCGCTTCGTCACGTGGTGCTGCTTATAACGGGGATCGTGATGTAAGCCAGTTGAACTTCGACCCCGATATTGGAACATCTCAGAACACCAGGGCAACCGCTTTAGTCACGGCCGTACGTCGTGTGCTCGGGCAATGGCGGCACGAACTTTCGCGGAAAATGCATTGCGACACCGTAGCCTCCTCCTCTTCTTCCTCCTCATCCACCTCATCCTCTTCGCTCCCTTCCCAATCCCCGGAATCAACGGTTCCTGTTAACCGGGAATCGGCGGCTTCTGATTGGCGGAAATTTGCCGCGTCAGCGTCGATCGCGATGCTCGTCCTCTCGTCCTCCGCAAATCCCGCGCTCGCTTACGTGGCGGCGCCTCCGCGCACGCTTTCCCAAGACGAAATCGCGACCGTGCGATTGTTTAAGGAGACGACACCGTCCGTCGTGAACATCACGAATCTCGGCGTGGGTCGCGACGCGCTGACGCTCGATGTGCTGGCGGTGCCGCAAGGATCGGGCAGCGGTTTCATATGGGACGAAATGGGGCATATCGTTACGAACTACCACGTGATCGCGAATGCTGCTGACGTTAGGTGAGGTAGCGACCCCGTATGAGTTCCCATGCAGCGGTGAGTGTCACGGTGCTGGTGGTGGTGCCGCAAGGGTCGGGTAGCGGGTTTATATGGGACGAAGCGGGACATATTGTGATCAACTACCACGTGATCGCAAATGCTGCGGATCTTAGGTAAGTGGATGGGTGGGATGCGGTGGAATAAGGACTTGGCAGCGGCGTGCGTGAGTGAGTGTCACCGTGCTGGCAGTGGTGCCGCAAGGGTCGGGCAGCGTCAGGTCGACTTTTTAGCCGACTAAAAAATCGACTTCTCACACGCGGTGGTGCCGCAAGGGTCGGGCAGCGGGTTCACGTCGGACGAAGCGGGGCACATCGTTACCAACTGCCACGTGACGTGGCGGTGGGGTACGACGAGATTAAGGAAATGCCAGAGCTGCTGATCATCTCTTTTCCCCCCATCTTATCCCACAGGGTAACCCTCTCGGACTCCTCGGTGCATGCAGCGGTGGTGGTGGGGTGCGACGAGGACAAGGACGTGGCAGTGCTGCGAATCAACTATCACCGCCCTCCTTTCCCGTCCCTTTCCTTTTCTCCCTGCTTTACTGCACCGCAACCCACACACACAGAGTGACCCTATCAGACTCCTCAGTGCATGCAGCGGTGGTGGTGGGGTGTGACGAGGACAAGGACGTGGCAGTGCTGCGAATCAACGCCCCTCGGGAGTCGCTTCAACCAGTCACCGTTGGATCGTCATCAGATCTCATGGTCGGGCAACGGGTCTTCGCCATTGGTAACCCTGTGAGTCACACCCAGCCTGGCTTCGCCACTGGTAACCCTGTTTGGCCCCTCGGTTCAACCAACCAATCACCATTGCATCATCGTCCGATGATCCGATCTCATGGTCGGCCAACGGGTCTTCGCTATTCGTAATCCCGTGAGTCACACACACTCACTCCCGCTCACTCACACTCTCCCCCCCTCACCTCCTGGGTTCCACATTATCCCTGGCCTCATTCACCTTTTACACCATTTATTATTTTATTAAAAAAACCATGGTTTTCCAAGAGTCTTACTTCGTCGTGCTTTCCCCTTGCTGTTTGTCTTTCTCCCCACAGTTCGGCCTCGACCACACTCTCACATCAGGCGTGATCAGGTCAGTCGAATGAATATCCGGTCGGCCTTTTTAGGTACGCAGGCCTAGAATTACCGCTGCGTAGCATTCAGCCACCATATCTGATTCGTCCCATCACTTGTTTCACCTTTTTCATTTGCAACTTCAGCTTTCTGTGGTCCGATTCAAACCCCTTCTCCAGCAACTAGTTCACCTTTCCAACCTCTGCCGTAATGCCACCTTCCTGAACAGCAGTGCAATCATTCTGATCTTCTTTTAGTTCTTCCTACTTAACCTCAAAACATTATTTCCCTCCCCCCTTTTCCTCCACTTCCTTCATTCCCTTCACTCCCTTCACCTCCCTTCACCTCCCTTCATTCCCTTCACTCCCTTCACCTCCCTTCACCTCCTTTCACCTCCCTTCACCTCCCTTCACCTCCCTTCATTCCCTTCACTCCCTTCACCTCCCTTCACCTCCCTTCATTCCCTTCACTCCCTTCACCTCCCTTCACCTCCCTTCACCTCCCTTCATTCCCTTCACTCCCTTCGCCTCCCTTCGCCTCCCTTCACCCTATGATGGATTTGACGCGCTCAGCGTTTTGACTCTGAGTCAAAACGCTAGCGTTTTGACGCGCTTGACGCCCCCTGTCCCAGGGGTACCCCCCAGTTTGACGCTCTGGCGGGCAGGCAAAAAAAACTCCCGGGCAGGGGTAAACAACTGGGAACAGGGGGGTTAGTAAGAGAAGTTGGGGGTTGGGGGGGGTTGGGGAGCAGGTATATGTTTCACCTCCCTTCACCTCCCTTCACCTTGTGCGGTATATGTTTTCCTCCACCTCCTCCACCTCCCCACCCCACCATCTCACCAGTGGATTGAGGAGAGAGATCCAATCAGCAGCAACAGGGCGGCCAATACAGGGGGTGATACAAACGGATGCAGCTATCAACCCGGGCAACAGCGGTGGGCCTCTTTTGGACTCTAGTGGCAGTCTGATCGGCATCAACACGGCTATCTATTCCCCCTCGGGTGCTTCTTCTGGCGTTGGATTCGCCATTCCTGCTGATAGTGTGAGTCATTCTGACTGTGCTTGTAGAGAGTGCAGAGCAGTCCTTAACGCGGCTACACGTATTCAACCTTGATTGTTAGAGATTTTTTATGTCTTAAAAGCCACCTCTGTGTACAAGAATAGAGCCATATCGATCCCCTCTTCCTCCCTCACCCCTACCCCCTCGCAGATCAGCGGCATAGTGGAGCAGATCATCGAGAATGGTAGGGTGGTGCGGCCAGTGCTGATGGTGTTTGTTTGTTGTCTACTCAGAGCTCACCTCAAATCCTTACAACCAAATCCGTTCCTCACCCCAACCCCGCAGATCAGCGGCATAGTGGAGCAGATAATAGAGAACGGGCGGGTGGTGCGGCCGGTGCTGGGCATCTCCTTTGCACCCGAGGAGGCAGTGGAGCAGCTGGGCGTCGATGGGGTGCTCGTGCTCGACGCTCCTCCTTCCGGGCCTGCAGGCAAAGCTGTGAGTATATATTCCTTTAGTCGACTCAGAAATCATGCGACCTGTGCTGGGCAACTTCTTTGCACCCGAGGAGGCAGTGGAGCAGCTGGGCGTCGATGGGGTGCTCGTGCTCGACGCCCCTCCCTCTGGGCCCGCAGGCAAAGCTGTGAGTTTCTTATGTACAGTGACTGTAGCTTGCTTATACTACATCACTTTGTTCGGTGCTGGGCATCTCCTTGCTCACGAGGATGCTGGGCGACGACGGGGTGCTCATGCTCGACGCCCCTCCCTCGGCGCCTGCAGGCAAAGCCGTGAGTTGTGTACACTGATTGTAGCGTATACTGCTATATCACCTTTGTTTTGCTGCTGGGCATGTCCTTTGCTCGTGAGGAGGCAGTTGAGCAGCTGGGCGTCGATGGGGTGCTCGTGCTCGACACCCCTCCCTCCGGGCCTGCAGGCATAGCCGTGAGTTCATGTGTACAGTGTTTATACAGTGAGTTACCGCTTAAGCATCTGTATTGCTTCGCTTGTAGCATTCCTTTCCCAAGTCTGCCTTTCGCTCACTTCATCCCAACCCTCTGCTTTTCCTTTTCGTTCCCTGTATGTTCAGGGTCTCCGGGCCACATCCAGAGATAATTACGGGCGGCTGGTATTGGGCGATATCATAACTGCCATTGACAACCACAAAGTCCGCAGTGGAACAGATCTCTACCGGGCACTCGATGATTGCCAAGTGGGAGACACGGTAAGTACACATGCAGTTGTCTAGATGTGCTGTACGCATGGTGGAACTATTGCTAATGATCTGAATCATTTGTGTGCAGGTTGCTGTCACAGTACTGAGGGGGGATAAGGAAGTGACAGTGAATGTAGTTTTAGAGGCAAAGTACTAGATGTCAGGTGGTGACAGCTTGTCACCATTTGTATATTAGTGTTAGCAACTTAGCAAAAATCTGGCTTTTAAAGATAACTATAGGCAGTGGCACCCGTAAGCTAATTAATTACTGTACACCTACGATAAGAGATCTTTCCGGTGATGTGTTTTGTCGTTTGTGACGTGCAAGGTGGTTCCGCCGACCTTCGCGAACGTGCTCAGCCGAACCTGAGGCTGTGCACGCAGCATCTAGGCTGGGGTGAAGGCTAGGATAGCGTCCCATCAATAGTAGCGCCGGTTTGGAAGAATATTTCCCAGCTGTCCCCCCAGCAGGCAATATATCGATACTGTCACATTCAGGATCCTTGGAGAAAGCTTCCCCACCGGCCTAAGGAAATGTACACGTGGAGTGGCGTTTCACTTTGCGTGTTCGGCGGCGTCATCGTCGCTCACAAACCGACGCGGCTCGAAATGCGGCGATGCGCTGAAATGTCCCCTTGAATTGCACATTTGCGGCATGCATAAATTCCACTTTGCAGCCCCAAAAGAATCATTCCACAGCACAACCATTCAAGCAGCTCGAACACAGAATCTACTTCGCCAGCCAATTCGACTCTGCCAGAAAACGGCCGCTATGGCTCAGAAAATTGCCATCTTCGTCGTCACATTGGCATGCCTCGCTGCAGTAGGTACGCCATCGAGCAGGTTTTTTTTTTTTTTTTTTTTTTTTTTTTTTTTTTTTTTTTTTTTTTTTTTTTTTTTTTTTTTTTTTTTTTTTTTTTTTTTTTTTTATCCGCATCGCTGAATTGCGCTCACCGTATTGCGTCACAAAGCAAAGTTGTGTAACTGACGAAGTAGGGCAGACACTGACGATTTTCGTGAGTTTTCTCGCAGGATTCGCGCGCCCGCCGGCAAGCGTTCGCAATCAGCTGGCGAAGATCGAGAAGAATGACGTCTTCATGGGAGTGTACCAGGGATCGCTCTATGCTGAGCTGGATCATGTCGACGGCGCTGACAAAATGTCGGACGGCTACGCCTACATGGCCATTTACAAGTAAGCTTCCGATGTCTCATGCCTAAATGTCACACTCGCAATCGCAAAAAAAAAAAAAAAAACAACACAACAACAACAGGAACACCTCGGCGTCGCTTCTTTTGATAAGTTTAAATTGCAACCGTCATCACAATGCTTTCCAGGAAGGACAACGATTACTACATCCGATTCGGCGCGGAGGCCGAGACCAAGGAGCCCGGGGAACCCACCGCGTTCACCGTCAACCTCGCGGCGGACAACAGCCTGGTTATCGACCTGGGCGCGGGTCAGACGTACAAGAACACCACTTACGAGCTCTGCGTGTTCAAGTTCCTGCAGAAGTTCATTCCGTATGAATACAGGTTCAAGGGAAAGTGGGCCCCGGCCAGCAGTGTCACCGTTGCCGCAGGCCCGCTCAAGGACACCATTGACGCCATGATTCAGAACCCTAAGAACTACTACGCGATTTTCAACACCGCGACGAACCCCACTGGTTGCGCTAAGGGCGCGTTTGATTTCATCCAGCCATGGTGGAAGCGCCTGTAAGCACAGCCCGGGGCGTCTGAAGAAGTTTTGCTGAGAATTACGCTTGATGGTCCTGATGTGTTGAGCTTATGCATATGCTGCAGGGTCTTTGTTCACTCCCTTAGTGAACATTTCCCTCCATTTGTTGGGTTTTTTCCTAGTGTGGTGGATTGTTGTCTGAGTGGAAGTTTCGTAACCTAATTGTCTTAGTTTCCCGTACTTCGAATGTGCTTCATCACACAAAACCATGCAGAGACACGTATTGGTGTTTGAATTATGAACTCAGTTGAGGGAGTCCTGTGCTTAGCTACTTGAGATTGTGCAAGGGCAATGTCGAGCGGATAATGTTATACATCCGTATGTTCTCTGACTCGTTATTTGCAAAACAATCGGAGGGTTGGCTAGTTATCCATGAAGAGTATTCTTGTTCTGAAACGACGATGCAAGGTGGCAACACGTGGTGCCGAATCAGGTCAATACACGTCATCGCCTCCTGACTCCACATTCGGAATTGGGGATGTTGAAAGGATGGAAAGCCAAAACTTCCGCCATTTACATATTTGATTTTAAAAAGGCTCATTACTTTTTCCTATGTAGGCATCATAAGTTCATAAACATGTGCCAAAAGTAAAATGGAGTTAAAACCCTTTGCTAAGAATAAACGATTTATTTGCGATTAAAAAGCTACAAGCGTTCTTGTTTTGTGCTTTTTGGTAGTCTATCTCTAGTTCCTCAAAAATATTTTCATGTGACAGATCAGCCCCAGAAGGGCAGCAGGTTTCGGAATTTCTCCCCATCTAGGTGACTCCGAAAGCACAGCAGAACCAAATTCTGTCGAACCCAGAGTACTTCTGGAAGACTGAGTTCGTGTCCGTAGGGATGACATGTCAACAAGGGCGTGTCAACCCGAAGCGCTTTCGAGCTAGAGTGTCAAACACTGTAGCTGTAGTGTCAAGTCGAAGCGCATGTGCGAACATCAGCGACGCAATTTTATTGGTTGGAGAACTTGTCATTTGTAGACCTCATAGGCAGTGAACGAATCGAAAGAAAGATGATTGGAGAAGGTGTTTTCTGATTGGGCAGTACCTGGTCGTGAGATATGCAGCTGCGACAATCTTCTCTCGTTTGTAGAAACAGAAAGTGCCCGACGATTTGTATTGGCTGGCAACCTGCAAATTCTTGACACTCTGCCAACAATGTTGGCTGAGTGTCAAAATGCCAAATTGACACTGCCCATTTGACATGTCATCCCTACGGACACGACCAGCCCTGAGGAATTCCAGTCTCCAGATCCGACGCAGATTCAGGCAGTAAGTCTGGAGGATTCCTCGCATTCTTTCATCAGGCCAGTCTTCGCACTTGGCTTCACCGTCTCATGCCAAAGAGGACGATTTCGGATTCTGGAATCCGTTCCGTGTGGTGATTTCGCTTTCTGTTCTTTTTAGGCCCTATTTCGTGAAGCTATTCTAGCCCTCGCGTCAAGATGGCGTCTGTCCTGCTGCCTACGTCCGTGAAGCCTAAGAAGTATGTGCTGCATCTGGAGCCGAATCTGGAGACATTCAAGTTCAAGGGCATCGTGACCGTAGATTTGGACGTGGTTGAGCCGACGAATGAGATTCGGTTTCATGCGCAGGAGCTGGAGTTGCATAAGGTACGGCGAATAGTAACTGAACTGGTTTTATTGTCCTTACGGGAAGGCGCAAGGTACGGATAGTTACAGACTCCTCTTTCTTAAGTCGTCGAGTCGAAGTTAAAGGTAACTTAGTACTTGGGATTTGATGGGATGGATTTCAAACACTTTATTGACTGAATTTGTTTCCAGGGTCCCAGAAATTCGTCGTATGGTGAGCGGATTGTCACTGAATCTGTTCTAACGTCTCAGGAAGAAGACTTTCGGTGAGACATCGTCACAGAATCTGTTTTAATGTCTCAGAAATAAGAAATCCGGTGATCGGATTTATACTATTTGTGTTTCAATGTCCCAGAAATAAGTCATATGGTGAATGGATTGTCTCAATTTCTGTTCCAATGTCACAGAAACAAGAATTGGTTGATCGGATTGTCATTGATTTTGTTTCAATTTGTGAGAAATTCGACATACGGTGAGCGTTTTGTCACTGATTCGGTTTCAGTGTCGCAGGAAGAAGGCTTACGTTGAACATATTGTCACTGAATTGGTTTCATCTTCTCAGAAAAGAGATACGCTGAACGGATTGACGCTGAATTTGTCTCAATGTATCAGAAAGAAAACATACGGTGAGCGGATTGTCGATGAATCTATTTCAATGTCTCAGAAATAAGACATACGGTGAGCGGATTGTCACAGAACCTGAGCCAATGTCTCAGAAAGAAGGCCTACGTGAGCGATTTGTCACTGAATCTGAACTGAAGGAGGAAGGTTCATTAGCGTTGGGATGCTCTCCCACCGTGCCTGCTCACCACGATCCCCTTCAGGTGGAGCTGACAACAGGCGATAAGCTTCTCACAGCGGGAGCAGATGGAGTGCCGGCAGTCGAGCTGGATAAGGAGAGGCAAGAAGGGAAGTTGGTGCTTGGGGAAGGGCAGACGCTGAGCACGGGGCCTGCGAAGCTCAGGATCGAATACACTGGCATTCACAACGACAACATGGTTGGATTCTACCGTGAGTATCGATCTGAGTGAGTGGGAAAGTAAGTTCAGTTGAGGTGCCTTCAGAGCCAGTAGGAACGCGCCAAGCCGTTTCTTGCTGAGACAAGCTGATGAAAATACCCGTCCCCGCTCCCCATTTCCCTTCACTTTCCCCTGTCAGGTGCATCCTACCCTCGAGACGGCCAGAAGCAGTGGATGGTAACCGCGCAGTTCGAGCCAGTAGGGGCGCGCCAGGCCCTTCCCTGCTGGGACGAACTGATAGCCCCAGCCCTTGTTGCGCCCGTCCCGCTTCCCTCCCCCCAGGGGCATCCTACACCCGAGACGGTCAGAAGCAGTGGATGGTAACCACCCAGTTCGAGCCAGTGGGGGCGCGCCAAGCCCTTCCCTGCTGGGACGAACCCGCAGCCAAAGCCACGTTCGAGGTGTCACTGCGCGTGCCGGCCGGGTTGCAAGGCTTGTCCAACATGGACGAGGTTGGGCGGGAGAAGCAGGCGGACGGGTCGGAGGTGGTTCGGTTTGCGGAGAGTCCGGTTATGAGCACGTACCTGCTGGCCTTCGTGGTGGGGGAGGTGGAGTGCGTGTCAGACAAGACCAGCAATGGCACTCTGGTGAGAACAGGGAAAGAATGTATGATTGCATGTGAATGGAAAAATGGAATCAGCGGTGTCCTTGTCAGCAGTTGACTGTACTGTATATGATGGTTTGGTTGGGGTGTGATTGTACGTGCAGCTAAACCAATATGTTCATGATGCACTGTTCCTGTAACGGTTGGTGCCTCCAGGTGAATATTTACACTACTCCCGGGAGGAAGGAGCAAGGAAGGTTCGCCCTGACGGTGGCGTGCAAGGTGATCACGTTCTTTGAGGATTACTTTGGAATCAAGTACCCGCTGCCCAAGGCCGACCTCATTGGTGAGACTGAGAATTGAGAAACGTATCATGGAGATCTGGGGCCTCATAACGTTTAAAGAGACGGCTCTCCCGTACTTTCCCTCGTTTCATTTCGCATCTTCCTTCCCTATGTGACTCTCTTTCCGACCTGCCACGTGCATGCAGTCATCCCGGGCTAAACCCATTGGAGCCATGAAAATTTGGGGCCTCATCACGTTCAGGGAGACGGCTCTCTCTGCTCCCCTTTCCCATCCCCCTCCCCTCTCACGTTCATTACATGCCTCTTTCCTAACTGTCTACCATGACCATGCAGCCATCCCGGATTTCGCCATGGGAGCCATGGAGAACTGGGGCCTCATCACGTTCAGGGAGACGGCGCTGCTGGTGGATGAGAACAGTGCGCCTGCTGCCACCAAGCAGCGTGTGGCTTACGTCATCTCCCACGAGCTGGCGCACCAGGTATGGCTTCTGAGAAGACGCACATAGGGAGGCTGGCTGGGCTGCTTGTGTGCTGGTACTGCTGTTGAGCACCAAGCGACAGCACTTCTGGTGTACAAGAACAACGCGCCTGCTGCCACCAAGCATCGAATGGCATATGTTGAAACGCACGAGCTGGCCCACCAAGTTAAACTCCATCAGGGACTCCATGCTTGTTTCATGGGTGTTTGACACCTTCGCCTCTCCCCTGCTCGCATGTCCGATGCTTGCATCTCCCTGCCTGCCTCTCCCCCACCTGTTTGTCCCCTCTCTTCCTCTCCCGTGCTCTCCCCCAACCTGGCCTCCACTCCCCTTTCCCTCCGCCCCGCCCTCTCTCCGCTCCTCAACCCGCATTCACCATCACACTGCAGTGGTTTGGTAACCTGGTAACCATGCAGTGGTGGAACGACCTTTGGCTCAACGAGGGCTTTGCCACGTGGGTGGGGTGGCTGGGCGTGGACTACATCTTCCCCGAGTGGGATGTGTGGACGCAGTTCGCCTGCAATGACATGGACACGTGCCTTCACACTGACGCCCTGCTGGGCTCTCATCCTGTTGAAGTGCCCATTAATGACCCCAAGGAGATTGAACAGGTCAGTGCAGGGGTGGGAGGGAGGGTTAGGATGGGATGGGATCTGATGGTGTAAGACTGGATGGGAATTTACCACTTCGGTTCTTTTCTACCCCACGTGCACACCCACCTGGTGTTTGATGCGCAGGCCTAGTCTGGGCATGTCTGTCATACTAACAGAGTCAACTCCTCTGTTGATCACTCAAGCTCTTATCTCTACTGTTCGTCAACCCACGCCCATCTCACCAGGTGTTTGACGCGCTGAGCTACTCCAAGGGCGCGTGTGTCATTCGGCAGCTGGAGGCCGCCATCGGAGCCGACGCCTTCAAGAAGGTCAGTGCGTGCTTGCTTGCTTGCCTCGCTGGGGGAATTGCACTGAGGGGTTTAAGCAGAGGGGGAGATGCACAGCGGTGATAGTCACACCACGGGGAGAATTGGATGAAGGAGGAATTCTGTTTCTTAGCCTAACGCCTGTCTCTCCTATTTCCTCCACAGGGCCTCCACTCCTACCGATCCAAGCACGCCTATGCCAAGACCATCACCAACGACCTCTGGAACTCCCTTGCCAAGGCTGCGGGCAAGCCTGTCCGTCCAGCAACCTTACCTTGTCCACCTTTCCTCCCTGTCCCCGTTCTGTTGCTCCCCAGGGTCTGCACTCATACCTTTCCAAGCACGCCTACGCCAACACCATCACCAACGACCTCTGGAACTCCCTCGCCGAGGCCTCGGGCAAGCCTGTCCGTGAGATGATGGCCAGCTGGACGGCCCAGATGGGCTATCCGCTCATCTCCATCCTTCCCCCCAGCCCGGGCAAGCAGGGCGTGCGCCTCAGGCAGACCCGCTTCCTCTCCAAGGGGCCTCCTAGTGAGGCAGAGGATAAGCAGCTGTGGTGGGTGCCTGTGACGGCAACGACGGGGCGAGTGGGCGGAGGCGAGGGGAAGAAGCTTGATACGGTGGTTTTATCGGAGAAGGAAGGGGATGCGGAAGGGTTTGTGGTGCCGGAAGGGGAGGGCGGATGGCTGAGGGTGAACGCGGGGCAGACGGGGATTTTCCGCGTGAATTACACGGAGGAGCAGTGGAAGGGGATTTCGGCTGCTGTGGAGGCGCTGCAGCTGCCTGTCATTGACCGACTGGGTGAGTGGGTGTGTTGTTGAAATGGCCATTGTGATGCATGCATGCTACCTGTCGATCATCCATCACTATATGCTGATCGCCTGTCTTGATACCACATCAGCACAATGCATCCCCTATGTATGTTCTCTTTCCTTCATCTCCTTTTCAAAGATTCTCACACATTTTCCGCTAAGCTCTCTGGTCTCTCTCTTCACCACTCATCCTCCTCTCACGCCCCGCACTCTCCTCCATCGTTTTCAACATCAGGCTCTGTCATGGACGCCTTTGCGCTGGCCAAGGCGTGTGTGATAAGTCGATTTTTTAGTCGACTAAAAAATTCAACATCAGGCTCTGTCATGGACGCCTCAGGGTGTTTTTGAGAATTCTCAAAAACACCCTGCAGTGTCATGGACGCCTTTGCACTGGCCAAGGCGGGCATCATCAAGACCAGTAGGGGGCATGCGGCATTTGGGCTTTCCTCTCTTTGCTTATTCCCATGTCTTTTCTCGAACCCGCCTTGCAGGATCTGTCATGGACGCCTTTGCGCTGGCCAAGGCGGGCATCATCAAGACCAGCCAGGCACTGCAGCTGGCATGGGCGTTCAAAAACGAAACCGAGTGAGTTTTTTCTGTGTGTGTTATCTTGCCCTTTCATCTGCCGTAGTGGGGAGTGCGTCGTTACTTCGAATAGGGGAGAGAGGGGAGCAAAAGAGGATTGTGAGTGGGTTGCCCTGAGACCAGAAAGGCCCTGCAGCTGGAGTGGCCACTTAAGAATACTCTATGACATAGATAGAGTAGAGGGGGTTGATAGGTGACGCGATTCAGGGAGCTGATGGGACACGAGGTGAACAGGGGAGCGAGGCAAGAAATTGTTCTGATGTGAATCAGTCCTTCTCAAGCATTTTAAATTGTTCTTGTCCTTCTCAAGAAATTGTTCTGATGTGAATTGTTTCCAATTGTCTCCTCCTCCACACGTCCAGATACACTGCATCTGGAGATCCTCATGCTTACCGCATGGAGTACTCTGCCTCCATGTGCTCTTTCAAATGTGTCCAGATACACTGTATGGCCGCAGATTGCTGGAGACATAGGCGAGCTGGAGATTCTTTAGAGATGCACCGTACCGTACTAAGCCTCCATGTACCCCTCCACCCCCCACTCGTCCAGATACACCGTATGGGCGCAGATAGCAGGGGACATAGGCGAGCTGGAGATCCTGATCGGCGCGTTGCAGCAGAAGCCCCTTCTGGAGGCGGTCGGCATGCAGCTATTCACTCCCATCGCTGACAAGCTGGGCTGGGAGCCCAAAGCGGTGAGTCGGTAGAGAGACTTAGCTTGTTCCTGCGGGCCTTTCAGGTGGCGCTAGGTGCACTGCAGCAGAAGCCCCTTCTGGAGGCGGTGGGCATGCAGCTCTCCACCCCCATCGCTGACAGGCTGGGCTGGGAACCCTAAGCGGTGAGTCAGTAGAGAGGCTTCTGAGGCGCCTCAAAAGGCGGTGAGTCAGTAGAGAGACTTCGCTCGTTTTTGCGGGCCTTTCAGGTGGCACTTGGTGCGCTGCAGCAGAAAGCCCCTTCTGGAGGCGGTCGGCATTGAATTTTACTTTTGAGAATTCTCAAAAGCAGAAGCCTCTTCTAGAGGCGGTGGGCATGCAGCTCTTCACACCCATCGCTGACAAGCTGGGCTGGGAGCCCAAGGCGGAGAGTACTTAGTGCCGCCTGAACCTATCAACTGGGAGTGCTCAAGCTCGTGAGTATCTGGTGCTCAAGCCCGTGACTTGGGGAAGAGAGTTGAGTCCGAGCACTGGAGATCCTGATCGGCACGCTGCAGCAGAAGTCCCTTCGAGAGGCGGTGGGCATGCAGCTCTTCACACCCATCGCTGACAAGCTGGGCTGGTCTCATCTCGGTGCCATGCTTTGCCCCCTGGTGTATGTTTTTAGAGAATTCTCAAAAAACATGCTTTGCCCCCTGGTGCTGGGCAAGCTGGGCAGCTACCAGCACGCCCCCACCATCGCCAAGTCTCCCATTCACCTCCCCGTTGTTCCACCTCTTCTGTGTTTCACGTCCATGATGGCAGGGCGAGTCTCATCTGGACGCCATGTTGAGGCCTCTGGTGCTGGGCAAGCTAGGCAGCTACCAGCACGCCCCCACCATCGCCAAGTGCCAGGAGCTCTTCAAGCAGCTCACTGCTGACGTCTCGTGAGTGAATGGCCTTGAGAGGCTTAGCGGGCATGCCTCATCTATGCTAAGGGTGAGTGTGAGCGTCTATGCCACACACCTTCGCTTGAGCGTCCAGGCACGCTTCATTCCTCTATTCCTCATTCCTCTATTCCTCATTCCTCTATTCCTCATTCCTCTATTCCTCATTCCTCTCGCATATGAACGTGTTTTACTATCTTCCCCTTCTCTGCCACCCCTCACATGTTCCCCACCACACCACACCAGCTCCGTCAACCCCGACCTGCGTCGGGTGGTGATGCCCATGGTGGTGAAGTAGGGAGGCAAGGAGGAGATGGAGGCCCTTTGAGGCGCCCCAGCAATGCATCACAGAGGCCATACCATTGATTCACTGCAACTATTCTTTCCCTCCCCCTCCCGTCTGTCACCCTTCAGCTCCGTCAACCCTGACCTGCGTCGGGTGGTCATGTCTGTGGCCGTGAAGTATGGAGGCAAGGAGGAGATGGAGGCCACTAAGAAGCTCTACAGGGAGGCAACCACGCCCGACTTCAAGATTCACTGCCTCGTTGGTACGTGCTTCGGACTTTGAGGGCGTTTGTGAGTGACTCAAGTGACCTCTAAAAGCCGTCTGTTCCTCTCCTCCCCACCCATCTTCTTGTCGCCGCCACACGATGATGCTGCCTTAGAACAAAAGTGCAGACATTTTTTATTGATAGTATGGATTTTCTTTTCTCCTCTCACAACATTTTCATAATTTAACTGCCACATTTTCCACCAATGCGTACCTACATTTTGTGTGCAGCGCTCTCCTCTGTGAAGGACCGAGAGCTGTACAAGGATTTCCTGGCATTCGCCCTTGACGAGACTGAAGTGAAGGCCCAGGACCAATAGTGAGTCTTGCACAAGGTTTACAGGAGCCTACTCCTGAAGAATGACTATCCTATGTCAAGTATCATGGTTTGCAAAGTTAACATGCATGGGCTTTCAGGGTGCGAAGTGTTAGAGGCATCGCTTTCAGTCTCCGCCCTCCGCTCCTTCTTCCGACCCGCCACTCAGCATTGTGTTTCTGACCATGCTAGCCGAATTCCGAGTCAATTCGAGCACCGTGCGTTCCCATCCTTCAGCCCCACACTACGTTGTGTTCATGCCCACGGCAAGCGAAACTCTCACCTTCCTAGCTCCCATCCGACCCCATATAGCAGCCGAGGCACTAGGAACTAGGATCCTGTTAACCGTGATCCCTATTTCCATCATGGCCCCCACAGCATTGTCTTCACCCCACTTCCCTATCCACCCCCTGCAGCATTGTCTTGACGACCATGGCAGGCACCTTCTGAGTCAACTCGAAACTGAACCCATTCTCTATATCCCCCCCCCCGCGTCATGTCTATGGCAGGCAATGCAGCTAGTCAGGAATATGCGTGAGAGTTTTTTAGAAATCTCAAAAACACCCTGCAACATAATGCAGCTAATCAGGAATACGCGTGAGAGTTCGAGGATCATTTCGTTGAGTTCTATCACCCTTCTCCCCCCGCCCTTGCAGCATTGTCTTTATGACCATGGCAGGCAATGCAGCCAATCGCGAGTTTGCATGGGAGTATTTCAAGGAGCACTATGACACCATCCATGCCCGCTTCGCCTCTGCTGCTGCCCTTTTCAAGGTGAGCCACCCTACTAACCAAGTCTGTACACACCCCACCCCTTTCTCCCCCCCTCCCCCCTTCCCCTCCACTCCTCCGTGGCCGCTCCCCCATGCCATGCAACCCCAATCAGCATTGTCTTCATGACCATGGCTGGCAATGCTGACAACCGCGAGCATGCATGGGAGTATTTCAAGGAGCATTTCGATGCCATTCACGCCCGCTTCGCGTCTGCTGCTGCGTTATTTGCGGTGAGGCCATATGTTGGAGTGAAATTTGCAAGGTTTATTGTCGTCTGCTCGGTTTGGTGGAACACCTCATTGTCTCGTGGTTGGTGTACTTTAAGGTCAGATCAATGGCTTGCATGATAGCTTCCAGTCACCTTATGATTCTGTCCTTGTATTCCCCCTCTTGTCGCACAGTGCTGTAATCACAGAAAACAGGGATGGGGAGGAATATGTTGCAGTCTCGATACTCACGGCAACTCTGTTTCTTCTTTTTTGTCGACTTATGAATTTGTTGCTTGCAGCGCATACCAGCACTGCCCCTCAAGGGGTTTGCCACAGAGGACAAGGCTCGTGATGCGGAGGCTTTCTTCGCCGCCCATCCGGTCCCGGCCGCAGCTATGGAACTGGAGCGGACACTTGAGACCATCAGGGCCCGTGCGGCGTGGCTGGCACGAGATGGGGATGATATTGTGGCCTGGCTCAAATCAAAGGCGTCATAGACATATTCATACTGTACATGTCATGTGGCATAGGTATATAGTCGATCCAGTCCCGGCTGCGGCTATGGACCTTTGGACACTTGAGACGATCAGGGTTCGTGCGGTGTGGCTGGGATGTGATGGGGATGATCGTGGCATAGTTTAAATCCAAGGCGTCATAGTCATAGGTACTTAGCATTGCTGTCGTGACTTGGGGTTTATATCGTGGCATGATATGATACTTCTGTAAGCATAGATATTCAGCACTGATTCAGCATACATTAGGAGGAAAATTGGAGTGGGTGCTATTGAAGGTATTAGCTCATCCGAAAAAATTGAGCAGTGGGATAATGATATATGTTGGATCTATCCGCAGTTAAAAGCATAATCTAGGTTTGGCAAAATGTCATGCCATCTACACAAGCCAACAACGAATCTTTTTGGAGGGTGGGCTTTGGGAGAGGAATCTTTCTACTTGCCAGGCGCCTTGGCCTTGTTCCGCTCCTCCCACTGCTTGCGGTGGCCGGGCGGAAGCACAGTTGCGCCAGTGCCCTTGCGGATCTGCCCGCGCACGGCGCCCGCGGGGAACGCCGGGGTCGACACCACCACGTAGAACTTCTCGGGGTTCACCATCACTTTCGCGAACGCCGTCGAAAGCGCTTCGCCAGACGCCGTTTTCATGTTGGCGACGTCTTCCCACACGCCGGTCGTCGCATAGCTCAGATAGTTCTCCGCGGGGTTCGTGGAAGCCGTAGCGCTAATGCCCGTGGTGTTCACCCATTTCGCTCCCGCGAAGCTGATAACTGCCGGCCCCGTCGCGTCGCTGGCGGCCATGTTGATCGTCGCGCCGGTGGGCAGTCCCGCGGCGGACAGCTTCCGCACGGCGACGATATACTTGATGTTCACCACCGGGCCGTTCTTATACACCGTCAGAATCGCGTTGCCCGCCGCGTTCGCGTCGCCGGGCGCTGCGCCGACGACGGACGACCCGCGAAGAACGGTGCCCACCTGCATCACCTCGCGCCCCAGCGGCTTCCCCTTGTGCTCCGCCCCCCCGGCGGCCGGCGCGGGGTGCGTCTTGGGCGGTCCGCGGAGTGCGCCTGCGCCGCCTGCTGTGCTCTGCTTGGGCGCGCCAGGGCTCTGCTTCTTTCCGCTGGCGGGAGCGACCTTACCGCCGGGAGCCTTCCCCTTGGGGGTGGGCGCGGTCGTCGTGGGAACTACGGGGCTGCTCGCTTTCGCGTTCGGCGCGGCGGAGATGCTGGCGATCTTTGCGGTGGGCGCGGAAGTTGTGCGGAGGGGGGTGTCTTCCACCGTCTGCGGCTCCACTGCGGGCACCGCGGGGTTCGCTTCTTGGAGCTTTCGAGCGTCTGCTGCTAGGCCTGAATGATGGAGGAAGGGAAGGGGAGAAGCGTTAGATTAGATCGATGGAAGGGAATACTTGTCGATTTTGGAGGGGGATACTGCTGAAAGAATTGACAGAGTAGTTGGATTTTGTGAAGTGAACGAGGCAGAAATGCGACAGGACTTCGGATGTGTACAGGTAGTGAAGACTTACATGAGATGGCGAGAAACGCCAGAAGCGTTGTCAAGAAGCGAGTGGTCGACATTGTATTGGGAGTGGTTTGCGAACACTGGTGCTTGACTATTCTCTACTTGAATGTACTCGGATTCGAAGACAAGCCTTTTTTCGAGTGTCGATAGAGTGTTGAAGGTTGCGAATTGGAGAGAGGAATGAGTGAAGTGATGGAGAAAGGTGAGAGGGTGGACGCTTTTATGCGAATCTCTAGTCGTGTGTTGGTGGTGTTGTGGCATGTAATGTGAAAGTCTGGAAAGGAGTTTTTTCACGAACCGCGACATTTGAATTTTGGGTGAGAGTGTAGCGGGATTCGGTGATTGAGCGGTCGAGTTTCAAAAAACGAGTTAGCGCTGTGGTGGAAACACTTGTAGAATTCCCCCCTTCCAAAGTTGTCAGAAGCTGACGGAAACTCTCGGTATTCCCGCTCACTCTTCGTTTGACTCGGACGCAAAGGGCAAATGTTCAGCTCTCAGTCTGTGTGCAGCTGGAGAATGACGGAAATTTTGTCGTCTGACCTGACCCTCCAACGGTTCCATTTCAGTCAAATCCTCCGGCCAACATTTTTCAGCCAACGGAAACTGTTCCAAAACAAACCCGTGGGAGGTAGGTTCAATCAAACGTTCCTCCGTGGGGCGCCGTTCAGGTAACTCGCCAGTACCAACAGATTTTCTTTCGCCGTTAACTTCGTCACAGATTTTTCAGCAGCAAAATGGACGGTGCGAAAAGAGACGTCAAACGGGATACCAGTCACCTTGCCCAATCTTGCTCTCAGTCGGTGACGAAAAACTTCGCGCACAAATATCTGCCCGGGCCGGGAGTCCAGAAGACCGACCGACCCCAGTTACTCGCTCTCACGTCCGTAGATCGGTGAATCTGCTTTTGCTTGCGTGGACTCTGTCGAGCCGCATCTCTCGACCTTCCAATGTCGCGGTTTGGCTCGAGACTTTTCCCACCCCAACATTGCGACACGGGTTCACACACACAACTACAAAACCCTAGACTTCCTCATCATTCTCACTCACCAATCACTCAGCTTCCGATAACTTCAATCCGCATCGCAGCTTCTTCTCTCCAACTTCACACCTCCACAACTCTACAGCCTGGTGGCTCGAAGCTCTCCAGTTACGAGCGTTCCATTCTCCTTCTCAAACACTTGACGCAATGTCGACTACTCGCTTCCTCTCCGCACTCTTGGTGATCCTCGCCTTATCATGTAAGACCTTTTCTCCCAGCTTTCCTCGTCTCAAGTTCCTCTCTCACCTCATTGAATCACTGATTGAGTGTGTAATACTCCATCCAACCCTCGTGTGCCTCTATTACCTCCTCCACTCTTTTTATGTCCTTCAGGCCTAGCAACAGACGCCCGAAAGCTCCAAGAAGCGAGCCCCGCGGTCCCCGCGGTGGAGCCGCAGACGGTGGAAACCACCCCCCTCCCCGGAACTCCCAAGCTCGCGAGCATCGCCGTCGCGCCTAACGCGAAAGCGCGCAGCCCCGTAGTGCCCACGACGACCGCACCCACCCCCAAGGGAAAGGCCCCCGGCGGTAAGGTCGCTCCCGCCGGCGGAAAGCAGCAGGGCCCTGGCGCGCCCAAGCAGGGCGCAGCAGGCGGCGCAGGAGCGCCCAAGACGCACCCCGCGCCGGCCGCCGGGGGGGCGGAGCACAAGGGGAAGCCGCTGGGGCGCGAGGTGATGCAGGTGGGCACCGTTCTTCGCGGGTCGTCCGTCGTCGGCGCAGCGCCCGGCGACGCGAACGCGGCGGGCAACGCGATCCTGACGGTGTATAAGAACGGCCCGGTGGTGAACATCAAGTATATCGTCGCCGTGCGGAAGCTGTCCGCCGCGGGACTGCCCACCGGCGCGACGATCAACATGGCCGCCAGCGACGCGACGGGGCCGGCAGTTATCAGCTTCGCGGGAGCGAAATGGGTGAACACCACGGGCATTAGCGCTGCGGCTTCCGCAAACCCCGCGGAGAACTACCTGAGCTATGCGACGACCGGCGTGTGGGAAGACGTCGCCAACATGAAAGCGTTGTCTGGCGAAAAGCTTTCGACGGCGTTCGCGAAAGTGATGGTGAATCCCGAGAAATTCTACGTTGTTGTGTCGACCCCGGCGTTCCCCGCGGGCGCCGTGCGCGGGCAGATCCGCAAGGGCACTGGCGCAACTGTACTTCCGCCCGGCCACCGCAAGCAGTGGGAGGAGCGGAACAAGGCCAAGGCACCTGGGAATTAGGATGACTAACCCTAAAGCAGACGTACCTCCTTAACTTGGGGCACGCTAGTTAGCCATTCAGCTTCAGGCGTGTTTCCCCTGATTAGCTAGCTAGATACATGTGTGGGGTTTGGATGTGTGTGGCTAGCACAGAATGGCATGCCATTTTGCCAATATCCATGTCATGATTCTTTAGTAGTAATTTGACTGATGACAGCATCACTGGGGTCCTCACGTTACCTCTCCAGAGAAAATGGGCGCTGCTGGTCAGAGCGTTTCGTTGCAGAGCCTTTTGCTCTAGCAACAGAAGCTGAGCGCATGCTCGAGAGATCCATGCATATTAGGAAGCAGTTGAGTCCGTTTAGACATTATGCTGCATACCAAGGGGCTGCTCACCGAAGGCATATCGGATACTTGGCAGGGAGCTGCTCTTTAGGTCTGCAGCCATGCCATCATTAGAGGATGCTGGAGTAATGGGAGATGTCTGAGACACTGTGGCTGGACCGGTCTACATGACTGAATCTGTGTGTGTGTCTGTGTGTGTTCGCTCATTGTTGGCTTTTGAAATTAGCACTCATAGTTAGCACTCCCTCTGGCAACTTGTGTCACAACTATGAAAGTAAGACAAAAAATATACCCACATAATATCAATAAGCGTGATGATGTAACTGAAGTATTGTTCCGTTCTAGATTTGCACTAGATGAAGTGAATACCTCCCATGCAACAATGTAAGGCATAGGCTCAATTATTCAGAAAAGAAGTATGCTTGTCACTCAAACTGTCTTTTTTTCGAAGCCGCTATAAGTGAACCTTGAAATTTGCACCGAGAACATTCCAAAGGTTCAATTCATCGAACCACATTTTCGAACCTTTGGGTGACCACCACACTCGCCACTCACCACAGCCAGCAACACTCTGACGTAGGGATTTTGCGACTCCCGTCCCGAAGCCAGCAGCAGCTGACGAATCTTGTTGCGAATCACGGCCTCGTTGCGCCGAGAATGGTGCTTGCACTTCCGCGCCACATCTCCGCGGCCCCTCACCTCCACTTCCCAATTCGACGCGCTGCAACGTGTCACGCGCCTCGTGTTTCCCGCCAATTCGTTTCTCCCACGGCCTCTCTCGTCGTAAAGGTTCCCGCGGAACGCGCTTGCGCTTCAGCCGCCGGATTTAGCTCTACAGTCGGATTCGCAGCGTCGCGTGTTTTCGGGTTACCCGATTCGCGCGCTCTGCTCGCGTCGCAGCGCGCGACAGCCGGAAATTGCACGACAGGCTCGCGCACTGCTAGGGTTGGCGGCGCGTTGGGGGTGAGAATGGTGCTCACCGAGTCGCAGCCGCTCGAGTTAGGCACCCGAGCGCCGGATTTCACGGTAAGTGAACATCAGTAAAGCGGCAATTTACTGTTATTTGAGAACATTTAGTCACGTTTTTCATACTTACAAAACACTGTACAGAAATGTCTACGATACTGTTCTGTAGATACAAGCCCTGCAGTTTGTATTTGCCTTTGAGAATTCTCAAAACCGCGAAGGAGGCAACATGGGCATCCAAAAGACATGTACAGATGGCTGGCGCGACGCGACTGTGCAATCAGCTCTTTGCGTTCGTTGATGCTGAAGCGTTTTGCTATCTCAAGCTAGTTTCTGCAATTTTTTAATCCTTTCCCAATCAAAAGGTCCTGGCATGCAATCAGCTCTTGACTTGACACTCGTTGGTGACTGTACATGCGTGTGCCTATGCGTGCATGTGAAACCGTGCATGCGTGTGTGTGTGTGTGATTGTACACGCGTGTGACTATACATGCACGTGTACTGTACCAGCTGGTGGAGCCTCTCACGGGCAAGACATGGTCTCTCTCCGACTTTGACGGCCACCCGGCTCTCCTCGTAAGTCCTCCTCCTCAAAGGTCCACCGTTTGTGATGCATGAAGTTCCATTTCCCCTTCCCACTCCCCTGTCTCTCCCTTCTCTAACTTTGACGGCCACCCAGCTCTCCTCGTAAGTCCTCCTCCCCCCTCCCTCCCCTGGCGTCCTCTACCCTCTCTCTCCCCGTTCCCCCTCTCTCACACACTTCTCCCTCCTCTTTGACGGCCACCCAGCTCTCCTTGTAAGTCCACAACTCCTCAGGTCCACACCCTCCCGGCTGCACACACCCTCACGGCTGCACACACACTCACGTGTCCTCACATCTTCATGCGTCCACACATCCTCATCTTTTTTTTTTGTTTTGGTCTCCTTCCCAACGCCGCCCAACATCGGCAGGTCATGTTCGTCTGCAATCATTGCCCCTTCTTGGTTTATGCAAGCTCGTCTTCCATCCTCCTCCCTTTTTTCCCCCACCGTGTTCCCCTTCCCCCTCCCTCCCCCAAAACTTGGTCAGGTCATGTTCATTTGCAATCATTGCCCCTTCGTGGCTCATACAGATCCTTCTCCTATCCTCTTCCCCCCATTATCTCCCACCGTCTTCCACCCCTCCCCACCCCCGCCCAACACCACCAGGTTATGTTCATCTGCAATCATTGCCCCTTCGTGGTTCACATCAAGTCGCAACTTGTTGCACTGGGCAACGAGTACATCTCTAAGGTACACTTTTGAGTTACATCTCCAGGTTACATCTCCAGGTTACATCTCCAGGTTACATGCTGGAGGTTCATGCCCAAGGTACATCTCCAGGAGCCCATTTTTCATCTCCATGCATTGCTTGCTCTCATCTCCCTACCCTGCTCCCCCTTCTTTTTCTTCCCAGCGTGGACTCCAGCATGGGCTGGCGGTGGTTGCAATCTCGTCCAACTCGGTACTCTCTCACCCTCACTCTTGACTCGGCTCAAACTTCATTGACTCAAATCCTCTGCTCCTCCTCTCTCCTCTCCCTGCTCCCGATTCCCCATCTTTCCAGCATGGGCTGGCAGTGGTTGCAATCTCGTCCAACTCGGTACTCACTCACCCTCAGGTACGCCGTGCAACCTACTGAAAGTTATGATGGTCGTGAATAAAGAATGATATTGCGCACCTGAGGCTATTGCGAAAGTTATAATCTACAATAGCCTCCAGATGACGTGCCAGCCGTTTCTCTCGACTTGCGTTCTTATGCTCCTCAATCTCCCTCTCTGCGTTCTACTTTTAAGGCGCCTTAAAATAGACTGTTTCCCTCATACCCGTCAAATCTCCTCAATCTCCCCTCTCTGCATTCTACTCAACTACAGGATGGACCTCACAAAATGGCAGAGGAAGTTAAGTAGTTCAACTTCCCCTTTCTGCTTTTCAAATTCCTCTTTCCCTCCTGTCTCCACGTCCCCTCTGCTGCATCCCTCTCTGCATTCTACTCAACAACAGGACGGGCCCGAGAAAATGGCAGAGGAGGCCAAGCAGTTCAACTTCCCCTTCCCCTACCTTTATGATGAGGTGCGTCCCATACTTCACATGGCAGTTCATTGCACACCCAACACTTACAGTGACAAGGTATAATCTGAGTCTTTTCTGACCAAGCAGTTCAACCTCCCCTTCCCCTACCTCTATGATGAGGTGCGTCCCACCCGTCATATTAAAGCTCATTTCTTAGCATCTCCAGGCCAAACACTTGGTTTTAATCTCTGTGTCACAAGGTACAATTCAAGCCTTCTTTGCTCACTCAGTTCAACCTCCCCTTCCCTTACCTCCATGATGAGGTGTGTCTGTCAATACATCTCGCATTTTGCTGAGTGTGTCTCACAGTTGGGCGTGCAGACGGACTCAGGAGGTGGCCAAGGTGAATCATGCTGCCTGCACGCCAGACTTCTTCCTCTTCAAAAAGGATTGCTCCCTCTCTTCCCAATCACATTTTCCCCTTTCACCCCACCACCCTGCAGACTCAGGAGGTGGCCAAGGTGAATCATGCTGCCTGCACGCCAGAAAGGATTGCTCCCTCTCTTCCCAATCACATTTTCCCCTTTCACCCCACCACCCTGCAGACTCAGGAGGTGGCCAAGGTGAATCATGCTGCCTGCACGCCAGAAAGGATTGCTCCCTCTCTTCCCAATCACATTTTCCCCTTTCACCCCACCACCCTGCAGACTCAGGAGGTGGCCAAGGTGAATCTGCTGCCTGCACGCCAGAAAGGATTGCTCCCTCTCTTCCCAATCACATTTTCCCCTTTCACCCCACCACCCTGCAGACTCAGGAGGTGGCCAAGGTGAATCATGCTGCCTGCATGCCTGAATTTTTTTGCTCAGATGCAAGAGGTGGCTTATGTGTTTATGCCCTTCCCCATCCTCCCCCCCCCCCCTCTCCCCCCTGCTCCGCCTCCCATTCATCAGACTCAAGAGGTGGCCAAGGCGTATCACGCTGCCTGCACGCCTGACTTCTTTCTCTTCAAAAAGGACGGCCGCCGCCCGTTTGAACTCGCATACCACGGACAGCTGGACGACTCCCGGCCATCTAATGGTCGCCCAGTCACCGGGAATGACTTGCGTGCTGCTCTGGATTGTGTGCTCTCTGCACGACCAGTCCCCAGTTCTCAAAGGCCCAGGTGAGCTCGCCTTTACCCACCTATAAGGTCCTTCTCTGCTCACCAGCAACGACCCCCATCTGAGCTGGTATACCTCTGCCAGCTGGACAACTCCCGCCCCTCCAACGGCCTCCAGGTCACCGGGAAGGCCAATGGACTGCGTGCTGTCCGCCCGACCGGTCCCCAGCGCTCAGAAGCCCAGGTAAGGTTGCCTTTACCCAGTCACAGGCAGGCCAGTCGCCAGCGTTTAAAAGCCGAGGTGAGGTTCTCCATGGCAATACGGACTAGGGTCTACAACCCCAACGGTTACCCGGTTACTGGCTAGGATCTCTGCAAGGCTCTGGGTTGGGCGTGCTTTCTGCAAGGCCAGTCCCCAGCACTCAGAGGCCCAGGTGGGTTTCACTGCTTGCCCACAGGTCGAAGTCGTCCCATTGGACATAGTTTCGAAACGTCTCAAAACTCGATTGTTTTGAGACGCCTCAAAGCACAGGCAAGGACCTCCGTAATGCTCTCGACTGTGTGCTCTCTGTGTGACCCGTCCGCAGCACTTAGAAGCCCAGTTAGGGCATTGTTTAATCCAAGGATGAGGGTCTAATCTAAATACCGATGTGGTTTTGTTTATTTACTGAAGTGGTTATCTTCTTGGCCCTTCTTTGGCTGACTAAAATGCAAAATCCCTTCTTATTCTGCAATACTATCTTGTGTTTCCCTGACTATCCTTTATCCCCTTCTGTGCAGCATCGGCTGCAACATAAAGTGGGCCCCCGGGAATGAGCCTGACTATTTCGGATAGATTCCTCATTATTTCTGCGCTTGCGGAGAGGCTCATTATAAGGCTCGTGAGTCATGACGGGTTGCTGACTACCAGAGTTATGAGCTGGACCAGCTAACAAAAGACCAGCAGGAACAGAGCTTGGCTTGACGCAGTTTTGTTCAATGTGCGAGTACTGACCAAACGCTTCGTTAAATGTTTTGCTTCTCGTCTGTATCGTGGGATTGTACAAGGGCCTTCTCAACTGTCCCAAGCACATGAGCATACAGATGCACCAGTATGCAGTCACACAGTAGGTGTTTCACCTTTGTCTAATGCGTCACTTCACATGTCATCGATTCCAAAATCTTGAAAGCTTGATGCCCAGAGTGGAGAGTACGTGACTTGAGAGCCGGGCTCTAACGTATTTGATCGAGTAAAACATATGCATATGTTTGAAGTCGAATTTCACTGATCATCTGGGGTAGCGGGGTGGAGCAGGCAACTTTAATGCGACTCGTAAGGGATTAATTGTCAAAGTTGGAGGGTGGGAGTGGCCATTGCCGTCTCAAGCAATGCACCCGTGCCACTGCTGCCATGTAGTCTGACGATCTGCATGGAACAGGGCGAATGAAGAGGACAAGGAGAGGGGAAGGAGGGTGGAAGGGTAAGCAGGGTTTGCCACTGGCGTCTCAAGCAATGCACCTGTGCCACTGCTGCCATGTAGTCTGACGATCTCTAGTGGATGGGTTGAACGAGGGGCAGGAGGGGGAAAAGAGACAAAGGTGGAAGGAGGGCACTAGAGTGGTGCAAGCAAGGGAAAAAACAGGATTTGCGACTGGCATCTCAAGCAATGCGCTGGCACCACTGCTGCCATGTAGTTGGATGATCAGGTTGGGAACGGTTGAGGGAAGGATTGGAAATGTGTCATTTGCCATTGCAACAAGGTGAGTTTTGGGTTGACCAATTGACAGGACAATGCCACTCCTGCCAGGCCGTCAGGCAATCTGTGTGGAATGGAATGAGTGGGGTTTTGCGACCGGCAGCGCAAGGCAGGTGAGAGGGGTTTCGAGTTGACTTTTGAGTCGACTCAAAAGTCAACTCGGTTTTGCAACCGGCAGCGCAATGCAGGTGAGAGGGGTTTCGCAACCAAGGTAAGTGGGGTACCTGCAGGCGTATTCCGTGGCAGCTGCTGATTGGATGTACTTCCTACTCGTGGCCTCATCCCCCTGAAGGGCCAGTGGGAGAAGGAGAGAGTTGAGAGTGAGCGCGAGAGTGAGTGAGTGAGTGAGTGAGTGAGTGTGGGAGAGAGACGTAGAGTGTGGGAGAGGCCAAATATATGCCGGGCATGAACCCATGGATACAAGGGCATATGCGCACATGGACCCATGGACATCTAGACCCATGCTTACAGACACACGGGCACATGCATACATGGGCACATGCATACATGGGCACATGCACACATGGGCACATGCACACATGGGCACATGCACACATGGGCACATGCATCCATGGACACATGCACACATGGGCACATGCACACATGGGAACATGCATACATGAGCACATGCACACATGGGTACATGCACACATAAGCACACGCACACATAAGCACATGCACACATAAGCACATGCACACATGGGAACATGCACACATGGGTACATGCACACATGGGCACATGCACACATGGGCACATACGCACTAAGTATACAAGCTGTCATGACTGTTAGACCTACAAGTATTGTGAAACTCAAAACATCCTTATGACAGAAACAGTACCATGATTTCAAAGAAGAGGCCGACGTATAACCGGGCATAGAAGGCTGATGACCCCCCCTCGTCATCCCCTGCTGCTGCCAACACCTGTGTCCCCACATGCCATGCCATCGGTTCATGCCATGCCATGCCATGCCATTCCATGCCATGCCATGCCATGCCATCCGCATGGCATGTGGGGTTCATCATGTCATGTCCAGTACCACGCCATGGCACTCCATTTGCCATGCCACGCCCCATACGTGTGTGAACGCTGAATTGAGAACGCTGTACCGTGGCATGTCCGCGTCTCCCACTTGGAGTGCGGAGGAATGGAGGAAGAAGCAAGCGCAAGGTGAGACATGAGTGGGAAGTGGGGAGGTGGGGAGGTGGGAGGGGTGCGAGAGGGAGGGACCAGAGAGATGAGCCTCAAGTAGCTGCATGAGATTACCTGCGAGGGGTCGGCACCCGTTTTGTCCTTGTTTCTTTCAACTGTCAAGAGTTTGGCTCTGAGATCTCTTTAAACACTCATAGGCAGAAATACTAGCTGTTTGTAACACTTAGTCTTACACAGCGAGTACAATACTAGCTGTTTGTAACACTAAGTCTTACACAGCGAGTACAATACTAGCTGTCTGTTCTTTTGCTTTAAGCCTAGCTTCACTACTGCAGCTCCCTGCAAATTATGTCTCAAGATCGCAGGGACCAGAGATATCAGCCTCAAGGGATTAGCTGCATGAGATTACCAGCAAGGGGTCGGCACCCGTTTTGAACATGTCATACGCTGCGCGCAGCACCTTCCCTGGGTCTCGAGGGACCTGAGCACGGGGAGCAGGAATGTGTGACAAGACGACACGATGGGATAGACAGTTGAAAGCCCCCAAGTAGAGCAAGACGAGTTTTGAGACGTCTCAAATCCTTACACGTCCCGCAACATAGGCGTGTGAAGACAGTACAGGGAGAATAATAATGCCCAGTCATATGAAGTGACCGAATATAAGCAGTTGAGAACCCTCAAGAAGAGAGGAGAAGCCATCTCTAGCGTATTTAACCACCTGATTGAATCATGAGGCACTTTTACGATTTTTGAGGTGCCTGGAGGAAACAGGTCCAATATCAAGTGAAATTCCCTCCTCTGGCATGTTTCCCGGGCTGATTCCACTCCATTCGCCCTGGCGTCGGAGACAAAGACGACATTCGAGGCATCGCGTGGGACACATGGGACACATGGGACACATGGGACACATGGGACACATGGGACACGTGGGAACACGTGAGTCACTTACCTCTGGCATGCTTTCTCGGGCTGATTCCACTCCATTGGCCCTGGCCTCAGAGACAAAGCACCAGATGGACTGGCGGGAAGGGCAACAGAAGAGAACAGGTTTGATAAAGCATTAGCCACTCAGAATACAAAACGTCAGACAACTCAAAGTACAAAGCACCAGACATCTTCAAACACAAAGCGCCAAGGACTGGCAAGAAGGAAAGTGAGAGAATGCGAAGGTGGAAGCGAGGGGCAGGGCATGGGCATGGAAATGTGCAGGTACGGTCTTGGGTATGTGAGGTGCTAATGAACCTGAGGTGCTAATGAACCTGAGGTGCTAATGAACCTGAGGTGCTAATGAACCTGAGGTGCTAATGAACCTGAGGTGCTAATGAACCTGAGGTGCTAATGAACCTGAGGTGCTAATGAACCTGAGGTGCTAATGAACCTGAGGTGCTAATGAACCTGAGGTGCTAATGAACCTGAGGTGCTAATGAACCTGAGGTGCTAATGAACCTGAGGTGCTAATGAACCTGAGGTGCTAATGAACCTGAGGTGCTAATGAACCTGAGGTGCTAATGAACCTGAGGTGCTAATGAACCTGAGGTGCTAATGAACCTGAGGTGCTAATGAACCTGAGGTGCTAATGAACCTGAGGTGCTAATGAACCTGAGGTGCTAATGAACCTGAGGTGCTAATGAACCTGAGGTGCTAATGAACCTGAGGTGCTAATGAACCTGAGGTGCTAATGAACCTGAGGTGCTAATGAACCTGAGGTGCTAATGAACCTGAGGAGATTTACTGAAGCGTACTCACCTCTTCTGCGTCTCTTGAGTTTGCTGCAATGCACGCGCGAAATTGCTGTGAAGCTTCTGCAAATCTGAGAATCCCAAGTCAGGAGAAGATGGGAACGTTGAGAAGGCAAGTAACTAAGCGTCATGAGAATTGCGAAGAGGGGAATATGAACCAACGAAAGAAACGTACTCTGGTGCATGGCGAATTTTGCAAACTGGAAAATGAGGATCAAGGAACGAGACAAAGGGGACACTACAGAACTGTGAGTGCATCACAGCACACACCAGCCATACACAGGCAACCCAGGCATACACAGGCAACCCAGGCATACACAGGCAACCCAGGCATACACAGGCAACCCAGGCATACACAGGCAACCCAGGCATACACAGGCAACCCAGGCATACACAGGCAACCCAGGCATACACAGGCAACCCAGGCATACACAGGCAACCCAGGCATACACAGGCAACCCAGGCATACACAGGCAACCCAGGCATACACAGGCAACCCAGGCATACACAGGCAACCCAGGCATACACAGGCAACCCAGGCATACACAGGCAACCCAGGCATACACAGGCAACCCAGGCATACACAGGCAACCCAGGCATACACAGGCAACCCAGGCATACACAGGCAACCCAGGCATACACAGGCAACCCAGGCATACACAGGCAACCCAGGCATACACAGGCAACCCAGGCATACACAGGCAACCCAGGCATACACAGGCAACCCAGGCATACACAGGCAACCCAGGCATACACAGGCAACCCAGGCATACACAGGCAACCCAGGCATACACAGGCAACCCAGGCATACACAGGCAACCCAGGCATACACAGGCAACCCAGGCATACACAGGCAACCCAGGCATACACAGGCAACCCAGGCATACACAGGCAACCCAGGCATACACAGGCAACCCAGGCATACACAGGCAACCCAGGCATACACAGGCAACCCAGGCATACACAGGCAACCCAGGCATACACAGGCAACCCAGGCATACACAGGCAACCCAGGCATACACAGGCAACCCAGGCATACACAGGCAACCCAGGCATACACAGGCAACCCAGGCATACACAGGCAACCCAGGCATACACAGGCAACCCAGGCATACACAGGCAACCCAGGCATACACAGGCAACCCAGGCATACACAGGCAACCCAGGCATACACAGGCAACCCAGGCATACACAGGCAACCCAGGCATACACAGGCACCCAGGCATACACAGGCAACCCAGGCATACACAGGCAACCCAGGCATACACAGGCAACCCAGGCATACACAGGCAACCCAGGCATACACAGGCAACCCAGGCATACACAGGCAACCCAGGCATACACAGGCAACCCAGGCATACACAGGCAACCCAGGCATACACAGGCAACCCAGGCATACACAGGCAACCCAGGCATACACAGGCAACCCAGGCATACACAGGCAACCCAGGCATACACAGGCAACCCAGGCATACACAGGCAACCCAGGCATACACAGGCAACCCAGGCATACACAGGCAACCCAGGCATACACAGGCAACCCAGGCATACACAGGCAACCCAGGCATACACAGGCAACCCAGGCATACACAGGCAACCCAGGCATACACAGGCAACCCAGGCATACACAGGCAACCCAGGCATACACAGGCAACCCAGGCATACACAGGCAACCCAGGCATACACAGGCAACCCAGCCATACACAGGCAACCCAGGCATACACAGGCAACCCAGGCATACACAGGCAACCCAGGCATACACAGGCAACCCAGGCATACACAGGCAACCCAGGCATACACAGGCAACCCAGGCATACACAGGCAACCCAGGCATACACAGGCAACCCAGGCATACACAGGCAACCCAGGCATACACAGGCAACCCAGGCATACACAGGCAACCCAGGCATACACAGGCAACCCAGGCTTACACAGGCAACCCAGGCATACACAGGCAACCCAGGCATACACAGGCAACCCAGGCATACACAGGCAACCCAGGCATACACAGGCAACCCAGGCATACACAGGCAACCCAGGCATACACAGGCAACCCAGGCATACACAGGCAACCCAGGCATACACAGGCAACCCAGGCATACACAGGCAACCCAGGCATACACAGGCAACCCAGGCATACACAGGCAACCCAGGCATACACAGGCAACCCAGGCATACACAGGCAACCCAGGCATACACAGGCAACCCAGGCATACACAGGCAACCCAGGCATACACAGGCAACCCAGGCATACACAGGCAACCCAGGCATACACAGGCAACCCAGGCATACACAGGCAACCCAGGCATACACAGGCAACCCAGGCATACACAGGCAACCCAGGCATACACAGGCAACCCAGCCATACACAGGCAACCCAGGCATACACAGGCAACCCAGGCATACACAGGCAACCCAGGCATACACAGGCAACCCAGGCATACACAGGCAACCCAGGCATACACAGGCAACCCAGGCATACACAGGCAACCCAGGCATACACAGGCAACCCAGGCATACACAGGCAACCCAGGCATACACAGGCAACCCAGGCATACACAGGCAACCCAGGCATACACAGGCAACCCAGGCATACACAGGCAACCCAGGCATACACAGGCAACCCAGGCATACACAGCCATAAATCTTCTCATCAGTGCATGCAGCACAGCACACACCAGCCGTACACAGGCAACTCAACGGACCTGTTGAGGTAGAAGAGTGAAAGTCCTCTCTGCCATAGATCTGCTCGGCAATGGATAGCATGGAAATGGGAAAACTGTGCAGTATCAGCACAACAAACACACAAGAGCCTCATCAAAAGCTCCAATGCAGCCTTGAATCTGAGCTAAATGTGACATTTTTTAGTCGACTCAAAAGTCACCACGATTTTCAGAGGACGGTCAAGCTCCAATGCGGCCTCGAATTCAGCTAGTGACTACTAAGCTGACTCAAAATATGTCGCATTTCTCAGGATGGTCGCTTACAGGGGATTTGGGAGGGGTCAAGCTCCAACGCGGCCTCGAATTCAGCTAGTGATGCCTCCACCTCGTTCTGCTATCATATTTATGAGATGGGATGTTTTGAGTCGACTAGAAAATCGGTAACATACAGGGGATCTGGGAAGGGTCGAGCTCCAATGCGGCCTCGAATTCAGCTAGTGACGCCTCCACCTCGTTCTGCTCTTGTGATATGACAAGCCACATGCGTGATGCCATGCCACGTCGTGCCATGCCATGTCATGCCATCCAATGCCATGCCTTTGTCATGCCATGCCATGCCATGCCATGCCATGTCATGCCATGACATGCCATGCCATGCCATGCCATGCCATGCCATGTGTACCATTCCACACCATGTGATGCCACGATTGAGGGGAAGACCAACAATGAAGGGGACAGGGAAAGACGGGCACATAATGGTACAATGAGCAAAGTGGCAGAGGTGACTTTTGAGTCGACTAGGTGACTTTTGAGTCGACTAGGTGACTTTTGAGTCGACTCAAAAGCCACCTTGAAGGGGACAGGGAAAGACGGGCACATGATAGTACAATGAGCAAAGTGGCAGAGGTGACTTATGAGTCGACTAGGTACCTTTTGAGTCGACTCAAAAGTCACCTTGAAGGGGACAGGGAAAGACGGGCACATGATAGTACAATGAGCAAAGTGGCAGAGGTGACTTTTGAGTCGACTAGGTGACTTTTGAGTCGACTAGGTGACTTTTGAGTCGATTAGGTGACTTTTGAGTCGACTAGGTGACTTTTGAGTCGACTAGGTGACTTTTGAGTCGACCAGGTGACTTTTGAGTCGACCAGGTGACTTTTGAGTCGACTAGGTGACTTTTGAGTCGACCAGGTGACTTTTGAGTCGACTCAAAAGTCACCTTGAAGGGGACAGGGACAGACGGGCACATAATAGTACAATGAGCAAAGTGGCAGAGAGGCGGAAGAGAATGAAGAGGAGCGAGAAGGAAGATATATTCACGAAAAGGAAATAATTTTGAGAGAGCACATTTTACAACCTCGATAAATAGCTGCATGCCACGTCGGATCGCGTCGCGTCCTGCCTTCTCCCTCCCTGTTCCAGACGCCACGTCAGCATTGGCCGTCGCTGCAGGAACAATTCCAACACCACGTCTCACTCGCGCACCTCCGACTAGCTCCCGAGTAATTCCTGGCCGTTGGATGGAACCTCCTGTTAACTCGTGGGAATCTCGCGGCCGTTGGATGGCAAATCCTTGTAACTCCGTTCGTCTCCGCAATGCACTGATTCTGAGTCGTCTCCGGTCCGAAGAAGAATCTCCGGATGACCCATACTGCTCCTTAGCTCGAATCCCTCCCAACCACTCTGCACCTTTTCGTCTGACTCCAATTCCGGATCCGTGAGGTCCGGCGCATATTCCGCTGGGGTGACTCGGTATATGATTATCTGCGGAGTTAGGGAATTCTTGCCGAGCCGTTCTATCGAATCCGTGCCATTTAGGAGTGAAACATGCACTTGCGGAACCGGATGGGGATGGAAGCTGCTGAATCCGGATTGTGCGGTGGGGATGGGTGCAGAGAAGACCAGCGGAGGGAGTGATGATTTTGGTGTTAGAAGCTGATGGGATTTGAGCAGCGGCGCCTGGCATGGCCAATGCTGACAAAAGGAGAACAAGTAGTTGGAACTCGTGCTACCGAGAAGGGGAAATCTCCGCTTGATTGGCGACTTCAGCGTAAGATTCGCGCGAAATGTAGTAAGTCGAAGCGCAATACACGGACGCCACATTCAATCGACAAAAACCGTCATCGTTCAGCCGTATCAGTAAGGCAAAGGCAGACGCTATGGAAACAGCCAGCAGGAACAGCACGAGGAAGCAGTAAAAATGTACTATCAAAATGGAAAGGTGGATTCTGAATAGGAAAGCAACACTTCAGCAAGCCTTCGGGAAAACCCACTTCTATAAGATGTGGGTCTTGAAAATGGAGGTGTCCTTCAACATAGAAATTGGGGCGGAGCAGGTATTTCCAAGGGACAGGCTATTTGCCAGGCCAGCCAAAGTAGCTCTGGCAACCAGGCCTGTCGCTTGCAGGGCGTTTGCCCTGCTGGACCTTGAATTTCAGGGCTGGGTTTCCCTTGGAAACTGAAATTGATGGGTTGGAAAAATCCTGGCCCTGATTCCTTACAGGGGTGATTTCAGGCTTAGACCTGGTGCGTAAAGGGTAGATTTTAGGCGAGCCCTGGAACAAAATATTTCGAACCCCCCCTCCCACACCCCCCCCCCCTTTTCCAAACCTGGCAAATTTGGAGTTGCGTGGCTGGGTCACAGATTCAACTCAACCTACAACTGGTACTTGCGCCCATCACAACCTTGCTCCCATCCCATGACACACAGACAGTAGCATGAATCGGCATAGCAGCAGCAAAACACATCTCAGATCCCCGTCGTGCAGTGCACCAGCAGGCATGAAACGGCATAGCAGCAGCAAAACACCTCTCAGATCCCTGCTAAGAGTTGGAAGAGGGGAAACTCTGCTAAGCGTGCGTAGTGAAATGACGCTAACTAGTTTTTTTATGTAGTGTCTGTTGTGTAATTGCAGAGTGCAGCTGTTAAGTTTGTGGTAGAAATGAGGCTGCAGAATTTTCCGCGCCAAACCTGATTTACAGGGAGGATAATATTCCAGCCCTGAAGCCTAAAGGGCCGAGATTCGCCCCGACCCTGCTAAATACAGGGTCGTACATGCCAGGCCCCCTGATTTGTCCGGGGGCCCCAAAACGAAACGACAGCCCTGCTGGCAACTAATTTTGCAATGATAATTCAGGCTCGGGTGCATTTGATGAGACCGAAGCAAACCTCGAGGTGCTGGAACCTTGGCTTGATGAGTTTGGGTTCCTCGTCATTGGCTGACAGGTGGCTGGGACAAGAGGTTTGGTAGTCTTGTGATTGATGCTCCGGGGAGCCGAGGGTGCCAAGGAAGCACCCTGTCGGTGCTTAAAACGGAGTATTTGATATGCATCAGAAAGATAACGAACAATTGAAGAATTATTGAGTGTCATGTACAAGTATAGATTTGCAACCAAACTTCTAAGTCACATCACTACTTTACACCGCCCCAGGAAAGGTTCTGAAGTTGCCGAAATACATTTCACAAGGTCATGTCCAGGATTTATTACTTATCCTTTTTGTCCTCCACAAACTCAATATAGTCTTCCTCGCCTCCCCAGCCATCTGCACATGGAGAAGACGGTAAATATCAGTCAAAGAAGTATGGTACACCCTAATTAAGTAACTCGGAAACACATGCTTAGGCTCCCCACTCTCCATCTCTCCATATGCCCAAGCAATTTCTTTGTTTCTCCTTGCTTCAAACACACCATGCCTTACACGCTCTTTAAAATCTTTCACCCCCCACACTCCCACCCACAGGCATCATCTTGCATCTAAGCCCTCAATCCCTCCCACTGGCATCATCTCACCAGCCCCTTGCTCCATGTAAACCTCCTCTGCCTCATCCATAGGGGGAAGCAGGCTCCTCTGTTTTGCGGCGATGCATGTTCTCCTCACTGTGCATCGCACCATCCCTCTCATACCACCATTCATACCCCAACCACTTCAAAAGAATGCCCCAAAAACACTCGAATCACACCAAGAAACAGCCCAACTACACCCCACCCACACCCACCGTTCCCTTGGTCCATGTAAACCTCCTCTGCCTCATCCACTGGGGGAGCTGCCTCCACTGTCTTTCGGCGCTGCATGATCTCCTCACTGCGCATCGCACCATCCTCCTCATACCACCACCCAGAACCCAACCACTCCCCAATCAACTCCCAACCGCACCCAACCAACACCCACCGGTCCCTTGATCCATGTAAACCTCCTCTGCCTCATCCACAGGCGGGGCGGCCTCCTCTGTCTTGCGGCGCTGCATGATCTCCTCACTGCGCATCGCACCATACTCCTCATACCACCACCCAGAACCCAACCACTCCCCAATCAACTCCCAACCGCACCCAACCAACACCCACCGGTCCCTTGATCCATGTAAACCTCCTCTGCCTCATCCACAGGCGGGGCGGCCTCCTCTGTCTTGCGGCGCTGCATGATCTCCTCACTGCGCATCGCACCATCCTCCTCATACCACCACCCAGAACCCAACCACTCCCCAATCAACTCCCAACCGCACCCAACCAACACCCACCGGTCCCTTGATCCATGTAAACCTCCTCTGCCTCATCCACAGGCGGGGCGGCCTCCTCTGTCTTGCAGCGCTGCATGATCTCCTCACTGCGCATCGCACCATCCCCCTCATACCACCACCCAGAACCCAACCACTCCCCAATCACCTCCCAACCGCACCCAACCAACACCCACCGGTCCCTTGATCCATGTAAACCTCCTCTGCCTCATCCACAGGCGGGGTGGCCTCCTCTGTCTTGCGGCGCTGCATGATCTCCTCACTGCGCATCGCACCATCCCCCTCATACCACCACCCAGAATCCAACCACTCCCCAATCACCTCCCAACCGCACCCAACCAACACCCACCGGTCCCTTGATCCATGTAAACCTCTTCTGCCTCATCCACAGGCGGGGCGGCCTCCTCTGTCTTGCGGCGCTGCATGTTCTCCTCACTGCGCATCGCAAACGACGTCTTGGCCACCACCTCATCCCGCTGCACTGCCGGCTGTGCAATGTCATACTCCTCCTCCTCGTCCTCCTCTAGGAGCTCCTCCTCTCTGCTTGGAGCAAGGGCAAGGAGAGGGGGAGGAGGAGGGAACGCCTTGGCCACTACCTCATCCCGCTGCACTCCTCCCCGTCCTCCTCTCAAAGCTCCTCCTCCTCGTTGCGAGCAGGGCGGGGTGAATGGAGTGTGAAGGGAGAGAGGGTGGATTATGGGGAGAGGGGAGAGGGGAGAGGGGAGAGGGGAGAGGGGAGAGGGGAGAGGGGAGAGGGGAGAGGGGAGAGGGGAGAGGGGAGAGGGGAGAGGGAGAGGTGAGAGTGAGAGGGGAGAGAAGAGAGGGGAGTAAGGTGGAAGCGTTTTGAAGCTTTTTGTGCTTGAATGTGCGGGTGGGACTAGGAAAGGGGGAGGCAAAGGGGTTGGGGGTGCTGGGCGTCAGGGGTGCACGGGACAACTTGAAAAGGCCTTGAAGTAAAAGAAAAAACGAAGGTGCGTGCTTACGTGTATCCGAGTATTGTCGGACTGATTCCAAACCCGTATAGTACCTCTGCAACGCTTTTCAACGCAGCTGCGTGGTATGGGAACGGAAAGGGAGGCCAGGAGGAGGTGAAAGTGGGGAACGGAAGGGAGGTGGGAGAAAGGGAGGTAAGGGGGTATTGAGCGCTATGTGAAGTGCATTCCCAAGGGCTCGTAACAGAAGACAATGCAAGAAGTGGAAGCAGAGGACGTGGAGGGAGGAGGGGAAAGAACGCGAAGGGAGGAGGGGAGAGGATGGAGGAAAGAAAGTAGATCTCAACTGTGGTGGAGAGAGGATGTGAAGGGGACAGGCGAGAAGATGGAAGAGGAAAAGTATCCCATGTTCTCACCATCGCCTATGTACCACATGTTTTCCTTCACCACTTGCACTGTGCCCTCTAATGAGATGGCACTCGCACCCAAATCCGCTGCAACAGCAGAGGGACAGATTGGGGAACACAAGGTAGACATACAGATCGACATTAATAAATGAAAAGGGAACGCTGCTGGAGTACCGCTGGAGTAATAATCCTCGACATTCTCCTCTTAATCAGAGTGATGTCTTCTGAGTCGACAGGGTCGACTCAAACGAGGGGTAGACAGTGGTGGTTGGTACCTTGGTCGTCGGCAGGAGGTTCGTTGCCGTAGATATCCGGGTACTTGTCTGCAGGAGGCTCGCTGGAATAATAGTCCGCGTGTTTCTCCTTCCATTCGGACGGCTCTCCTGCTGCTGCTGACCCTGCTCCTCCGTACTTGGGCTGGAAAGACAAGCAGAAGAAAGTGGCAGAAGCAATATGCAAGGGCTTTCAAGTCGACGTCAATGTTGCGTAACAGCTGTGATATGCAAGGGCCTTCAAACGTCTTCCCAACAGCTGCTGACCCTGCTCCTCCGTATTTGGGCTGAAGGGAGAACCAGAAGCAAGAGAACACATAAAGACTCCCAGGAACCGAATGCAACACCTTGTTTAAAGCTCAGGCGCAGAGCAGTACTGCGGGGAGTTGCGTTGAGCTGCGCTGAGCTGAGCGGAGCTGCGCTGAGTTACGCGGAACTGAGCTGAGCTGCGCCGAACAGAGCGGAGCTGCACTGAACTAAGCTGCGCTGAGTTGAGCTGCGCTGAACTGAGCTGCGCTGAGTTGAGCTGCGCTGAGTTGAGCTGCGCTGAACTGAGCTGCGCTGAGTTGAGCTGCGCTGAGTTGAGCTGCGCTGAACTGAGCTGAGCGTATGCTCGAATGCGAGCTTAACGAGCAACAACTCTAGGAAGAGTGATGGGACACTGAACGCCATTTCGACGTCTTGTGAGAAGCGATATTGACCAATGAACGCGCATTGAAGGACGGAAAAGCATACGACATAGGCCGAAAAGGTCGGGTGCAGTATGTGTGCAGTGAAGGACGAAATGAAACATTTTATTGAAGTTGTCTGTGCTTACATCACCGTCGAGCGACATAATGATCGTTGAACCAAGAGCGTCCTCTGGAAGCAGGCGAATGAAGCACCGTGAAACGAAGCACTGTCGAGAGAAGGAAGCACCGGCTTCGGCTTTTGTTCACAGCTTGCGGAGCGCAGCCCACTCAACGAAATGACCCTTGAATTCGGAAAAAAAACCTAAAATAGATTCCCGAAAAACAGCTGGCCTGTCAACTGACGGCTTCTGCAATGCGCGGAATAGTTGAGGAAAACGAAAGACCACCCGTCTTATTTGGCATCGCCTGACATAAATTAGAGCGCAAGCAAGAGGCTAACATCTATGAGACATGTAGCCATAATAATGTTCTCTCGCAGGCTGCAAAAATATGTCGGAAACTGCTCATTCGCAGTGCGCCAGTGTGAAAGCTTCTGTCCCTTTGCTCGATACAAGCTATGGTCGTCGATACTTTAAACCCAATAGTTCTCTTTGAGTCAAGCAAGGCCTACTTCCTCGTACTTAGTATCTGTCGGAGTTCCGACATTTGCGGAGTACAATGGAAATGTGGAAACTTGATGACCTTGAAACAGCCATAAGTAGTTCGCTTGAGATTTCTGGATATTGGAATCTGGAAAGCATTCTAGCATATCCCGGATTCTCTTAGCTACGGTTGAGGAAGGTTACTAATGTTGATAACAGGCGTTTAAGGGATCCATAACAGTTTCCATGCGGTTCTGAGGATTTCTGTGGCTGGGTGGGTTGCTTAGGCAGGAACTTCTTGCGGTTGCGAGCGGACCTTGGGGATCTCCGCTGCTTTTCCGTGCGAGGGGGGGGAGGGGAAACTCCGCGCGCAGAGCGTTTCCACACACAGGGGAGCCATCTCCGCACTCCGGAAGGATATTTGTGTTATCCTTTTTTCCCTGCCTTGATTTTGGGTTTCCTAGATTGATATGTCCAGGTGGTGGCATGGTAAGGTAAGGTAAAGGAGGGGGGGAAACCCCTCTGGGTGTTACCCACACCTGGCTGTCAGTCGTAAACCCGCCTCCCCAGTTGTTTAGACTCGCTGGGTCAACGAGGTTGAGGTATATCCACTCCCAGAGTGAGCCGTGCGAACCCCCTTCTGGGAGGCTGACAGAACACGTCGGCAAGGGGGATTGATCCCGAGACCTCACTCATCGGAAGTGACACAGCCAACTTACTGGGCCACTTCAGGATCCAGGTGGTGGCATGGAATGGAATGAAGTGAAGGAGACACCAGCTCGCCATTTTTGAGTTGCGAAGCAACCCTTTACGATCGATTTTGACAATTTTTTTTTCATGATTTTTTTTAATAAACCATGAAAATAAAATTCGTCAGCTACAGTACGACCCTTCCCATTGTGCATGTTGAACAGTATTGGTAGCTGTCTTTGTAGTACCAGTTACGTGCATATTATACTGTTTGTATTATATCTTTTATTGTTTGATATGTTGTGATAAATGTTGTGAATACTAGTAATGAATTACACGCCACGCATGCTTAAATGGATGTAATGATGAGACATGATATATAGATGCATACCTAATACTGTTACACGCATGAAAATGCTTTTGTATGCATATGATATGCTGAAATGCACCACACCAGTATATCATACAAATGCGTGATAGTTAACGACCCAAAAACTAGGCTACCGCATCCCCTGCCTAGCATGGGGGGGAAGTCAATAGCAAAGTCTTTGAATAATCAACTAGCACATGAAACAATACAATCTGTTAACTCTAAAAAAGAGGTTCACTCTATCAAATCCAGTTCGAAGTGGCAAACACACGAGTCACTGAGTGCGCCAATGAACCAATGAGAAATGATAGAAATGAACCCCTTTTTAAAAATTAACAGACATGCATTGTTGATGCATTGATGAACATAAAATAAAAAAAAAAACACACACACACACACACACACACAAATGCATGCACACAATGACGCATACGCACATACAAACGAAGGCAAACTACCGCATACAAATGCACAAACAATAAAGACAAGTAGGAAGAAATGAAAACAGAAGATGCAAAATGTTGGAATAACCGAAAGGTTATAAAGGCATTCCCGAAGTTGCTCCACTGTACTAGTACCGCATTAGCTCATATAGAGCACGCGGAATCTCGAGGGTCACCCGAAGGTCAACCGTCCAAGATAGTCAACGGTCGTGACCCTTGACGACCCATTAACCGCGCGACAGTTAACAGACTGCAACACGGTAACTGTCGAGAATAGCAATAGTCGTGGTTACTGTAGCTATGTAATGCAGTTAATAAGGGAATGTACCCCTCAGAGTACATGACTAGATAGTTCACTATTTAATTTCTTGTACTCCTACTTTCTAATCATCTTGTTCTCTTTCAACCTTTTCTTAACAAGGTCACTACAGAGACTTCACTGTCTCCTTTCAGGCTTAACACGTTCTATCCTATCCACTGATCCTTTGGTTGTATCAGCATGGTATGAGAGCTAGAGTGGATTATAGGATCTGTCAAGCCCTCGTTCTTCCTAGAACAATCCTTTCATAAAATCAATTATCACATTTTAAGGTCTGCAACACTATGGCTCCTGAAGGGAAAGCTATTGCAGACTCACCGGGCCCACCACCAGCAACTACTAACGCGCCATCAGCGGTGACCTCCGTCAACGCCGCTGTCGTTGAGCAGCTAGTTGCACGCGTCAACGCTCTTGAAAGCCATCAGGCTATGAGCATTGATGGCTCAAGCTATGCACGTGGCGTTGCTGGACTTCCTCTCCCTGGAGAAGACCGCCGCGTCAACTCCGAGAGATCCTTCACCTTTGACAATCGTCAAGGGTCAGCTCCTGCGCAAGACAACCCACAACGGTCTCAGTCAGACATTGCTTCAATGCAAACCAAATTTGTATTGACTTCAAAATTGAAGACCTCAATTCCCTTCGACGGGAAGGATTTTTACACGTGGAGCTTCGAATTCGAGCTTCTTGCGACAACCGCTCAGATCTGGATGTACTACGACGGAAGTCTGCCTTTTCCCTCGGAAGGCACCATCCAGGAGAAGCATCAGTACTACCACGAATCACTTCTCGCGTACACCGCTCTCCTTCGCAATCTCTCACCTGAAGAGCAGCTCGGCATTCGTCCGTACAAGACGGAGTGGGCTCCCGCGCACGCATCCTGGGAACACCTGCGCAACTCATACATGGCAACAGATCCAGTCACTATGAGTCGCCTGCTCAGTCAACTAACTTCGGTTAAAATGAAGCAAGGGGAGAAAGCGGGACCGTATGTTAATCGGTGCCGCAATCTGCGCGATCAAGTTAAGAAGTGCGGTGGTTCTGTCCCCGACGACATGTTCATCTCAATGGTCATTTCAGGCCTTGGCCCCGACTGGCGTCAGTGCCAGTCACTCCTTCGCGCCCGAGCAACCATATCGGAGTCGGCTCTTTGCGCCACGCTTCTTTCAGAGCAAAAGGAGATCGACCTGTACAACGAGAAGAACGTCAAGCGGGAAAAATTAGCCTTCTACACAGGAGGATCCCAAGGGGAGCAACGCGGAAAGAAGGGAGCTTTCTGCAAATACTGCAAGAAGTCTGGCCACTCCATCGACCAGTGCTACAAGCGTCAGGCTGCTGATGAACGGCGCAACGCCTCCAACCAGCAACCCTCAGCTCAATCCAAGCTTGCCACCGCAACCTCCACTGTGTCGCCTCCCTCGGTCGCCAGCACTTCTCGGTCCCCTGCAGTCATCTCGGCAAAGGACAAAGGGAAAGGGACGGTCATAAGCTGCATGGCTCGCCGCAGCAGAGGGTTCCGCTACTGGGATCGGGATCGAATTTCATTCCCTTCCGACAACCCCACCCCCGTTGCGCCCAGCTCAGATAACGACCCAACGGTTTCTACCTGGTCGACTCGCCCTTCAGACATCCCTCCTGACTTCGAGCTTCCTCCTCCTACTCCGGAATCGCCGCCGAGCATTCCCGCAAGTAGATATTTCGCTCTCTCGCCGTACACCGGCGACTTCGATCGCATCATTACGCCCAAGATCGCCAACCTTGCCCGCCAGCGCCACGAGGATCTGGACACCTGGTACCTCGACAGTTGCTGCGGGCAACACATGGTGGGCTCATCAAGGTTCATCAGCAACTCTCGGCGCATGCGACGACCCTGCGAAATCACCGCGGCCAACAACGGAAAAATGAAAGCACACGAGATTGGGGAGATCTACCTCGAGGCGAATGACACGAAATTTACCATTCACATCGGAGACGTCCTCGTTGCGCCAGACCTCCAATACAACCTTCTCTCGTCAGCTCAACTCATGCGATGCGGAATCGACATTCGCAGCAACCGCAACGAAAAGACCTTCGAGCTCTTTTATAATGACTCTTACATCGGAAAGGCGATCGACGACGACGGAGTCTTCGTGCTGCAGTTCTCGGCTCAGGGCACAACCGGCGATTCCCACCGTACGCTGCTCCTAAAGACAACTCCCACAGAGGCGACAACGTGGTCACATCCCGACGAGATGGACCTCGAGCGACCCGCCTCTGACGGCCTTCTGCGCCTGCGCACTATCCCGACCGCCTCGACCTCGAATCCCGCTGAGACCGGACCTGCCACGATGGAGGAAGATTCTCAGCGGCAAATGGGTTTTTCGCATCAAAACTCTCGCCGATGGCTCGATCGACAAGTACAAGGCGCGCTGGGTGGTGCGGGGATTCGAGCAAACTCACCTGGTGGACTTCACCCTCACCTACGCTCCAGTCGGCCGTCACACTTCGGTGCGCATCCTCATCTGCATCGCCGCCGTCAAACAGCGACCGCTCCGGCAAATCGACGTCGGAAGCGCCTTCATATACGCTCCCGTTGATGCCATCATCTTCGTCGAACAACCCCACGCATTCGAAGAAAGCGACGGCGCCGTGTGCCTCCTCCAAAAGTCTCTCTACGGAATCAAGCAAGCTCCTCGTCTGTGGCAGCAGTATCTGCATTCCGTCCTCCTTGAGCTCGGCTTCACTCAACTGCCACACGACCTCG